ATAAAAGTGGCCGTTAGCTAGCAATACATGCCTGTTCCTAGATGATCCATAAAGTAATTATACATTGACCCTTCCATTCATGCAAACGTAGCTGTGTTACACAACACGACCCTCTGCATCTTTTGCTCTGCCAGGGTCCACCTACTTGGCAATGAACAAAGACCACTCTTCTTATAGCATCACACTTACAAACATAAAGATGCGTGTATCTCCAAACTTTACAATGAAACGTGGGCTTTTTATTACAGCAATGGGCTCGGCTTGGCCAACAGCACCTTATGTGAAAGTTTCGCGTTCAATGTCGCAAACAGCCCAAAAAATATTTTTTTCGTCGTCGACGAAAGAGGTTGAGCCCCAGATCCAGTTTGGCTGGTAGCGACATTGCGAAATCTGGGATCGCCCACGATGAACTTCATACTTTGACACAAGATTCCTTTGACCCCGACAAGCACGTTGTCTATTAAAGAGCCCACATTTGATTATAAAGTTTGGAGATACAGGCACCCCATATGTCTTTACTATGTTGTAAGCGTGATGGAATTGCTTTTTCCTAGCGGATGGCGTCGGCTGCATTAACGGAAAGATGAAGAGCTGAGTGAAACCGCACGTGGTGGTTACACAGACACGTCCTTGACAGGTTGCTACACAAATGGATGATGATGATGATTGCCTTTTGTGAAGGTTCGTAAGTAAACAGCATCCAATAATGAAGGTGTTTGAAGGTATGCATCACATTTGCATGTAGAACAAAGTCGAGCTGCATAAACCAATTTGTATATGTAAAAAGATACGTATACATATACATAATATTGAATGGGTCACTCATCCTGAAACTCAATGGAGGGATCTCTTCACTTTTTCTCTTCTCAAGCTCATCCTACTTCCCACTCCTCCTCATTGTATCACAAAAGCCATGTACTTCTTAACCGGACCACCTTTATTATTCCATCTTCGAAGCAATAGTATACGATGTAATCCTCAAGCTTGCAAAGCCCAAGTGTGTAATAAAATCCAAGAACTTGATGATGTTAACGTGTCCTTTCCTCGTTGTTGCGCGAGACCCATATGAAAGTGATTGTGGAAGATGTCTCCGAGCGCTCTTTAGGTGGCCGTATTGTACCAGGTGATGATGTCATTTGTATATCCACTGCCAATTCCTTTGATCCATCCTTGTCATTATCCCAAAAACAGATGATCATTGATGGTTACATAATAAATTGGTATGCATGTACTCGGTGATGCTGACATTTGTATATCCAGTTGCTCACCCATATAGAGCTGCTGTTATTGTCCAAGATAAAGAAAGGGATCCAGCCTGGTGAAGGTACAAGCAAAACGTATCCAATCAAGGCGACCAACAACCGTTCCTGTAGTTCAAGGTGTAAAGAAAAGACTCATTAGAATACATGGCCACCGTACCATTCAATACAATGGCCGCAACATAGTACTTGTTCATCATCATCATCGTCGTCGTCGTCGTCCTGGACACCGTATCCATGGCACCCTGAATCTTCAAAAAAGCGCACTGATATCGCTACTATTGAACATCTCCATGTCAACTAAAAAGAGTTCTTTTGTCTTGTTCGAATACTTACATTGGTGGTGCTGGGTGACAAATGACGCTTGCTCAACGGACACAGCAGTTGGAAGGTTGAAGGTCTGCCATGTCAATAAAACGAGCCGAAAGAAAAAGAGTATGCTGCTGCATACAAATGTGTGAATGTTAACGCTGTATGCAATGTGGTTCCGTTGGGTATGGATAGACGCGTACCTGATGTGGGGGAGAACGTAGTGTCTGTACAGCAATGGTTGGTGAGGGTAGACATGTGTTTAGATAAGCATTCGCTTTCTTTTGTCATTGGCGTTTGATTGGTGTTAAAGAGCTTGCTTTGTTGTCTAAATGCGATTGGGAGAGAAGAAGCGGTTATGCAAGAAGAGCAAGGAAGGCGTCACCGTGGCGTTGTACCTCGAATTTTACCCACCTCCCCCCGCACTAACAATTCACGTGATAAAAGATGACGATGATACCATCCCAGAGACAGCATGTACATGCAGTTGCCATAATCAAAAGCGAACGAGTATTTGAGGAGATGGATTTTAAAAGAGTCTCATGCTATGGTATATCTATTAGATGCGTTAAGGGATATGTATAAGTACAAAGGATGCCTTTCTTTGTAGCATGATGGTACATACTGTAGCAAGTCTTTGCCAGCATCCTGGTCTTGAAGGTCTACAAAATTGATCCCTCTCCACTTGAGCACAGCTGTCATCAACTCAATTCAATATGATTTCTTCGCCTTCCTTCTTCTCAAGTCGAACCGGTCCACAGATGCAACCCCCTTTAACATCATTATTACCGCGTATGCTCGATCACTTGCATATGACCCACATTCACTCTTCATCCCTGTGGTATGATACCATACAATATCACAAAATCCATTTTTATTTGCTTTTGGGAGTAACTTTAAGCATCTCTAAAAACCCATTGTATACATCGCTCATATCTTTAGCTTCCAATAAATTGACTTTCCGAGCACGATCACTAATCCCAATGATAGTTCCTTCAAGACCAACTTCCTTGTTCTTCATTCTCTCCATGTATTTATCAAACTCGGTCAAGAAATGCTGCCACACTGCACCCGAGTCGGTCATCCTTGGAATTTTCAACTGGAATATGCCCAACACGCCATAGACATAATCAGCAGGATCCATGCAGCGTCTGGTGGAAGCACCCAATGTGCGAAGCAGGTAGAAAAAGTCAGAATGAGTATCTCCTTTGGCACCCTCAATGTATCTAATAGGAGAATGGATCTCAGAGAACCAAAGGCGCAGAGCATTTGCTACATGTAGTGAATCCATTAGCATAGCCCACAGTGAAATCCATCATACGACGTACCTCCTCGATATCCTTTATTATCCATCACAGTGACCACATGCCGGAATTTGTCGAATAAACCATTTAGAGTGATTGTGTTGGCCAAAGGTTCGCGATGAGTGCCTGTTTCAGCCATCAGACGCACCTCTCCTAATGGTAGGGCCATCTCTTGCCAGGTCCATACACGTGTCCACCAAGAACATTGCATCAACGTAAACAAGGCGTCTCTCACTTTGGGTAACTTTACATCGTAAAGCTCCTTCGCAAATGGGTCATCCTCAGGTACGTACACCGAGTCAAATAAGTGTTCTCTGACACCCATCATTGATGTAAGTTGCGGTATCAAAGTAGGTTCACAATCGATCATAGCAACGCATTCAAGACAACAAGCATAGATATCACCCATAATATCCAATGGCGTATCGGTACGTGCACACAAAACATCAATCCACCAATAACTTCCAGGATAATCCTTGAGCATTGACAACAGCGTATTGCGCTTTTCAGGTCGCATGGAAACAGGATCAACAGGCTTCCCATCTTCGTCATCCACGTGGTCTCCAATCTCGTGCCAAAGGTATCGGTTGTTTTCTGAAAGGCCCCACACATGAGATAAAACATAATAAAATGATGGGACGTCTCTTGCTCCATTGATCATTTTGATGATTCGCTTTCGATGTTCGGAATCACTGGCAGGTCGTATAATACGCATCTTGTCTCCATTCTCTGGCACGTATACAAGCAAAAAGTGTGGATCGGCTAATAGTGCACTAAGCCCTTTTTCAAAGAAAAGTTTACGCCCGTAGTTCCTCTCATCCTCCAATTGGATATTGATCTAAAGGGAAAACGTTGAATACCATCTTCAATACATAGGGCATCCTTTCCACCGACATACTTTGTACGGGTCGTTTTCATCCTTAATGTCGCATGTCATGTTGAAGAACTGGAAAGAAAGGGATAAGAATAAGAAACATGTTATCCTGTACTCTTCTTTGTCAAGGCCCAGCCGTTCGTGCTACATACATGCATGACATCAACCAATGCATTCTCCTAAGCAATCATTGAAGGCACCCATATAATAACAATAAAAACATCATCCCATTTCATAGCTATGATCGAGAAGCCAATGTGGAATACAATTGCAGCGTAAAAGGGGAATGTGCATAATAGAATGGATCACGGTGGGGAAGAGACATCGTGCGAGTGATGGAACCATGTATCACCAAAGGAAAAATTCGGAAGGCTGTGCCTCTTTTGGCGAGATCCAGTTGTAACGTTGCACCACGTTCTTCTTCCCTTCCACTTGAACCGCCAAAGATGATGGTAAATACCAAAGAAACCAATCATGTCCCCTTTCCATATACAAGATCATAGCATCCCAATCCCAAATAATATGCTGCATCTGATGTTCATTCAATAAAAGAATTGACAAGCGAGATATGGTATCGAGTGGCTTTTAGTGATGCGGGTGATAAAAGAAACCGTAACCAAATGAAAGGGGTACACATGGATTCCATCGAGTCCATCAGAGTCATTGTGCAGGAGGCTGATCCATTGTTGCCTTTTTTGCATCCATAATTGCCTCAGAGAATAACAACCATTGCCTTGCTCCATCCAGCATCGCCAGTTACACCCGCTTTAAAGACACATGAATTGTTCCATTCTTCGCGCTGATCACCGTGAAATGTTTTCATGGTCATATTGGAAGATCGTATCGTCTCTGCACCTGACTGCATCCATCGCGTATGATCCTCAGGTCAACATTAACGATTGAAAAGAGCCAAGTGATCGCTGCTCGTATGCTTCCTTTTTCATGCACCTTTGGCCATCCTCTTTCTTGGACGTCGTATCATTGCAGTATGACATAAGATAATATGGCGAATGCTGCGTGGAGGCGTAGTATCGCTGGGTATGTATAAAGTATCATCGACCCCCTCTAGTTACTATCCCGTGTTGATCCATATTAGCCATCATTCTCTTCTTCACTTGCCGTTTCATCTTCTCGTACCTTGTCGAAATGGTGATCGGTAATTCAAAAGAACTTGTAGCAGTAAGGCATCGGGCGTAGCTCATACACGAATGCTGAAGTTTCTTGTTATCATACCCAATGTATGCCATGATGGTGCAAATGGATACAACTAGATGCAGATACAATAGTCAATCAATGATACCAAAATGGGGTGAGACTTGTGATATCCCTTACCAGCAACAAGTGGGTCCTGTCAAGCAGTTTAATAGACACGGCTATGGGGTTCTTGGCATGCTTCTTTTACAATCGTGACAACTGAGTGTTGAGGGTGCTGCGTACGCTGTCATTCCTTCATAGCAGATGGTAGCAAAAAACCATCAATTTCCATTCACCTCCAGTGCGACTTGTTTGTTGATCATATCGTATTCCTTCATTCAATCCTCCCCCACTGTACAGCCAAACAATGATATGCATCGGAAAAGGAACCACGTGTTCGACATCAACATAATGATGGTAAAACGCAACGCGGTACAGATTTTCATCTTGGATTCCTCAAAAAGGGGTCGTGGAAAATGTAGGCATTGCGTATTGCCAATAGGTGCCGCTGTACCCAAAGTCTCTCTCGGTGTTGGTTCAATGTTGTCACCCATGTGGCAGGTCGTTGCATCATCCAACAAATCACATATCAGGGTGGTTGCCAAGCGCCATGAGCCAAATGTAAGTGGTATACAGTCATGCACGCCCTTCACATCCAATCCTGTTGTGGCTCCTCAGTCATCAGCGTACTTGATCGTGTATGCTCTTGATAATTCTTGGATCCCAACGCAGTGGTAGTCAATGGTTGTAGAACACAAATGTGATATCGTTCATTCCATCTCGATCCAACTGTGATATGCTGTGGTCAACAAGGTCGTGCGTATCATGCTATTGTCATTGCAAATGCACCAACTGATCTAAAATGCATGTTTTAATATCATATTACTTCCCATTAACAATGTAAGACTCTGCATTTCTCGTACCTTAGTCTCTCAAGAATCTCTTGTAGGGTATACGATCACTTGTCCAGTCGCAAAAAAGGGCATGCTTGTTGAGATGATGATCCCCAAATACGTCGTCAAGTAATAGAGGTAATACTTTTGAAAACCAGGCCCGTGATCTTCATTCATATCAAAGATGTCCACTTTTTGAATTGTATTGTCGCTGCCTGCACCAATCATTCCAATGTACTGAGCATCTTGCGTATCATAGTATGTAATACGTTGGGTGAAATGAAAATCCAAGTATATGTTTGCTGCTTTGCATACGATTTCATGGTTGATCTTCATGAAGTAGGTGGGGATGCGAGTGCTGCCCAACATTGATAAATGCAATAGATGGAACAAGGATACGAGGTCGTTGTTGACTTTGTTGGTCATTGCTTTTGGTATCATTGCTGCACGCCATCATTCAATCTAGTTGTTGTTGCTGCTGTGTATCCAATTTTCAAGTTTGTGTGAGATATGCGCTCACTCTCATGCTCGATATTCATTCCACAAATAGATTTCCTCATCTTGTCATTGAATTGACCCAACATCCATTGATGATCAATCATGGCAGTCGTTGTCAGATCTCCATCATCGCATCCAAGTTCTCGTACTATGTCTCCATGCACTCATTGGCCGATGAAGCTAGCTGCTCTGACACTTGTCTCCATTTCAATAACGTAGAATGATCTTCAAAGTGCCGGGTATGTTGTAGCCAAGCACCCCATTCCTCTCGTATATTCCAGTACCTGCTGATAAGGCATCATCATCGAAAATGAATCTCAACGTCTGGGTGATGCTTCACTACACAATGAACATGTCAATCACCATCCCTTGTTTCAAACATACCGCCCCATCCACTCGTTACCTAGATACCAAACGCCAGGAGTGCAACATCCAAACCAGAAATCCTTGAGTTGAACCATTGTACTGCATCATACACACGCGTGAGAAGATTGCCACGATTATGATATCCCATCATCCTCCTCTTACCTTGGTACATGGTGGACCAGTACGCAAAAGCTTTGGTAGTAGTAGCATGAAGAGATGTTGTTGTTGGTATAATGAATAAAGCTGTTGAGTGTCACCGTCAACATGATGCCTGCCTAGTCTGGAAACGAAGACCTCTTGGAAGCTGTTTGCTATAGGTCAACAGCCTGGAATTGTCAAGCAAGAACACAGTGATTGGTTGTCTTCATTGGCTCGTTGCTGAATCGTAATGGATGTGTCGCAAAGGTGTCCATACGTGGTGCCATTTTGAAAGGGAAGTGATAGTTGAGAATGGCGATGCCAAGTTGAGTGGGAAGAAGAGTGGACTTGAAAGACTAAGAGCGCCCAAACGAACATTGCCGCCTTGCCCCATTTTCACCAACAAGGTGTTACACATACGTATCGACCCATCTCCTGCCACAATAATGCAAGAGCATTGATTATCATCAAAGTCATTTAAAAAGGAGTTTCTTTTATGCAGGCAGTGATCTTCAACATTTATTCGCAACGACCATAATAAATATTCATCAACTTTAAGTATACTTCACCAATGCCTTCAACTTGTCGTAAATTGATTTCATTTTCACGGTCAATCCATCTTCCACAGTCAAGCGGCCATAAATCATCTAGCCCTAACAAGAAATGCCGCCAAACTTCATCGGGATCCTCCATCCTTGGGATTTTGATTTGCAATATTCCCAGCACACCATAAACATAATCACATGGATCATAACATTGTCGCAAAGAATAGACCAATGACCAAAGTATGCGTTCAATTGTATCAGGGTCGAAACTGTGGATACGGGATGCGTTGGACTCCTTAGCGTCGCTTACTGTATACAAACCTAATTCGAATACAGCAATGTCTATATCGCGTGGGTAACTGGTTAGCAGTGTGCATCAATACCAATTTAAGGATACCAAGCAACGTACAAATTCCATCTTGTTCGTACTCTTCCCAGAACGTTGAATCCATCTCACAAACACTTAGCAATTCATTCAGAGTGATCGTGTTGCTTTGTAGGCCGTGAGTATCCGATTCTGACAAAAAACGCACCTCTCCTAAAGGTAGTGTCATCTCCTGCCAGGTCCATACACGTTGCCACCATCCACATTCTAAGAATGTGTCAAGCAGTTCAAGTAATTGAGGAGCGTTCGCTTGTGCTTTTGCTTTGAGAATTTCCGGTATCAGGCTTGGCTCACAATCAAACATGACGATACATTCAAGGCAACAAGCGTAAATGTCTCCCATGATATCAAGTGGTGTATCAGTACGTGCACATAGGACATCGATCCACCAATAGCTGCCAGGGTGATCTCTGAGCATTGTCAATAAGGTGTCTCGTTTCTCATCTCGCATCGAAACAGGCTCTACAGGTTGTCCGTTTTCGTCATCCACGTAGTCGCTGATATCGTTCCAGTAGTACCGGTTGTCTTCTGTGAGTCCCCAAACGTGCGACAATGCGTAATAAAAAGATGGTATGCGCTTCGCTTCATTGATCCTTTTGATCATCCGCTTTCGATGGTATGAGTCATTCACAGGCCGTATAATTTGCATCTTGCCTCCATTCTCAGGCACATAAAGTAGTAAAAAGTAGGGGTCGACTAAGAGTGCATTAAGCCCTTTTTCGAAAAATCGTTTAAGGTGTTCGCCCTCGTCATCCTCTAAACGTATATCAATCTAATTAAAAGGATGTTAATGTCATTACTGTATCGGGATGTGAGGATGCCATGGTTCTGCATACTTTGTTGTATTCGTCAGCATCGTGTGTCATTATGAAAATTGAGGAAAGAGAAGATTAAGAAGTGGTTGCCACTCTGTGCGATGCGGTATCTTTTAGAGTCTTGCGCCACATGCATGCAAGACGCCAACAAATCCCCCGAGAAAAAATAGGCATTGCCATGTATGAGCAAGCGCCGAGGGCTCCCATGCATCGTTTCATCAAGAGTATGCTGCAATCTAGTGCAAAAAGACAACCGATTGATGAAGACCCAATCACGCTCGCATGTCAAACTTCGAAAGAGATGCCGGTTGTCCCATGTTTAGAATAGCATGGTGACGCAAGGATTCAACTTTATTCCTAGCATGCGTATGCATTGCAAGGATCATTATGATACATCGTTGATGAATGACTACTTAAGCTTCGTCATATCCATACATACATATCGAGGGTCAGCCGGGAAACGCATCGTCGTCAGCATGTTTATGTGGCAAATAAAGCGCATTTATAATAAACATGATGGCGTTAATGATTCCAAATTCAAGCATTGGTTGTGCAACATCACAGCCATGTATGTACACACCATTTCCTTATTCTCCCTCTCTACTCAATCAAGCATCTGCACATCCAAACAAGGATGGTCATTCAAGAACCCACGTAATCCAAATCACCAAACATGTGCGATACAAAGATCCATTGAAAAGAAAAATACATTACTGATAGTATGAACATATCTAAAAAATGGAGCTCGATAAAAATGCGAGGTCGTCATTGTCTGTAGTTTTGCTCGTATCCATTGTCGAAGAAGCAAGGTGTCATTGTAGCTTGCATGACTCCGATTTCCAAATCCATTTGGTCCTGTGCCTGGTGCTCATTCTTGGTATCCTCATCATCCAATGTTTCACCCAAAAGTCGTTCCCTTTATGCACCTCTTTGAACTGAGCCGGTATCCAAGCAACCATCGTAATTGCCATCACCATATCCAATCAATATGATCTCCACGTGCTCACTGGTTGAAGCCATCCATTCGGCAGTTGCTAGGAATTTCAACAATCGATCCCTGGAGCGAATCACTTTGAGCGACATGGTGCTTGGTGCTTCAATGTTGGGATGTTTCTCCTGTTGCCATCGCATGTTGTAGCTCGAAACGAAAGCCAATACTGTGTAGTGTGTATGGAGCATAGCCATGATCTTGTTGACATTGCCCCGCTCCCCTATACAATCATCACGTCAATCATCATCCTTTCATCAACATGTCAACCACATCCTCCTTTTACCTCGATACATCCATGGTTCAAGATATACACAAAGTTCCAATGCGTGGAAGACATTCGGCTATTAAGAGTACGTAGAGAGTGGCAGTGGTGCTGGATAATGATGGACAACGGATGTCGCAGTTGCTGGGGGATGCATCTGATAGCTGCATAGACCAGTGAGCACGTGTTTTGAATACCATGCAAGAAGAATGCTTCACTCACCAGCTATAGGCAAGCGTATTACTCTCATCCAAGTCTTTGATCTGCCGATGGGCATAACTGATGGGGTACCCTCTCTTGGAACAAATCGTGGCGGAAAGCAAAGGGGCATGTCACATCGAGTGGCCGAACACAAGCTGTTGGAATTCGTCAAAGTCCAATGTGGTCACCATGGCAATGTAGCATAAGAGTCGAGGTGTAGTTGGCTGCTTTCACTCGTTTTAACGTATGTGTTGCCATACAAATAAAACACGCGTGTTGTTCGACTGGAGTGGTATGTGTGTGTGTGTGTGAAAAGTTGGAAGAAGGAAAGAAAAATGACATTTCTCTACGCATTACACAAGCTCTGTCAATAGCCCTTTGTGTGCTCATCAAAAGCGATGTCGCTTATAAAACATCCTATTTTCCCCACCTGAAAGTATGCAGATCATCTCAAACCATTTATTCATCTCTACAAATTTGGATAATCTTATCTACCACGTGCTAGCTTCTAGAAGGTATCTGTATACATCAGCCATCTTTTTAGCCTTCCGTAAGTCAACATGGTATGCGTGGTCACAAAAGCCAGTAATTCTCCCTCCAGCACCACCAAACGATTCGCCTTTGATACCCGTTGCTTCCATGTAATGATCCAGCTCAACCAAAAAGCGTTGCCAAACGGCTTTTGGATCGGTCATCCTTGGGACTTTGAATTGAAATATACCCAACACACCATAGACATAATCCACTGGGTCATAACAACGCCTCTCGGAATCACCTAATGTAGAAAGCAAAAACAAAAACTCGCTTGCGCTTGTGTTTCGCACACGAAGCTTATTGAATGTTCTAGCTTGACGTATTTGATCGAGCCATAAATACACTGCATTCCCACCATAGTATTCTTTTTTCTCAAAATGATTAGTGTCGTCGATAAGTGTCCAAGATTACTACACAACTTACTGTTGTCAGCGCCTGAGAAAACACCAATTTCCATGATATGGAATGCTGCAGCTTGAAAGCGGCTTACTAAATCATCCACTGTGATTGTGTTGGTTGCAAATTGTTTGGTGGTATCTGTTTCTGCCACAAGACGCACATCTCCAAAAGGTAGAGCCATCTCTTGCCAAGTCCAGACACGTTTCCACCATTGGCTTTGCATTAATGTGGATAAGAGTTCAATCAACTGAGAGTATTTATCATCGTAATGATGCATGTTGTTTTGGCTACAAGGCTTCCCAGCTGTGTTAGAATCTCCCTTTGTCACACACGGCATGGTATGGAGTTGGGGTATCAAATCAGGTGCACAATCAATCATGGCTATACATTCAACGCAACAAGCATAGATATCGCCCATAATATCCAAGGGTGTATCGGTACGTGCACATAAAACATCAATCCACCAATAACTGTCAGGGTGATCTCTGAGCAATGCAAGTAAAGTATCTCGTTTTTCAGGTCGCATCGATACAGGAGCTGCAGGTTGCCCATTTTCATCATCGACGTAGTTGCCAATATCATGCCAAAGGTGTACATTGTTTTCTGAAAGACCCCAAAGGTGCGACAATGCATAATAAAATGATGGAATGCCTCGAGCTTCTTCCATTCTTTTGGCCATACGCTTTCGATGGTAAAGATCACTGGTAGGTCGTACCACTCGCATCTTGAATCCATTTTTTGGCACGTAGAGCAGCAAAAAGTGTTTGTCGGACAAGAGTGCACTAAGGCCTTGTTCAAAAAATCGCCCTCGCATATTGCTTTCATCGTCCTCTAAGCTTACATTGCTCTAGAATTGAACTACCCTTCAGCATTATCTCTATCTTGACTTGGGGCAGATAATCCACTCACATACATTGTGCGAATCCATGCTTTCATCAATGGGTGTACGTGCCATGCTAATGATTGGAAAAGAAAAGAAGACTTTAAGCACTACGAATGATACATCCAAGGCACTTTTCAAGTCTTGCTGTACATGCTTAATGGTGGTGTTGCATTCAACTCGTTGCCCAGCTGCATTACCCCTGAATTGAAAAGGAGAATACTCTTGACATTGGCAAATAGAGATGTGCTACCTCGAATTCATACAATTATTACGTATACTTATCAACAGGGTGGTAATCAAGCAATGCCTATTATTATGTAAATAACAACAGCAAAAAGTAATGTCTGACAAAGATACTTTGATTATGCTCGCACTTAAAACGTGGAATGCAGAAGAACATGATGGTTCATACATGGGTGATACAAGGGGTCTAAGGAAAAAGAACAAACATTGGCAGACTAAAGCTTAAAGACCGTTTAGAGTGCTGCAGCTGCTGATGCATGCATCATTCTTTTCTTATTAAATGTGTACACTTTATTCGTCTCTGCTTGTTTGTGTGTCATCGTTTTAGCCTATGAGCTATGCATATGCATATCCGCCATCAAAGGTGACAGGGATGATCTAGTAGTATATCGGTCACGAAGACTTAATCAAGCTAAAGTGATGAGAGAGCTACAAGCGTGCATTGATGCTAGTAGAAAATGGTTCAATCATGCCTCCCTACTACCCCCTTTTAATCCAACCGCGCCACTACATAGATGAGGTTCATCAATGCACAACCAGTCAATTGATCCAATATCTAGCATATGATAGCACTCTCCTACTCTACAATCATGTTGGGGGCAGGTACCCATTCAAAGAAATAAATCGAAAAGCATGATGTAATTGTATTATGTTTCCAACAAAAGATCACTAGACAAATGAATAAGGTATCTATGTCATCGTATCCAAGATTGCTGGGAAAGCGCTGCATGCCATCGTGACAAGCATCTTCATCCGCATTGCCGCGTGCCTTTGTTGGAGTATATCCCAATGCCTACATCAATGGCACATTCCCCATCATCAATGCTATCCGACCCATGATCATTATCCTCAGCCGTATGCACGTAACATCATCCATCGTTCTTGCTGACGACGTGCCAAGTAACCAGAGCAACATTCCAGAATTTCTTTCTCATCACTGCACTTGATTGCATCCTTCCATCCATCGATGGTCATTGCGAGTCCAAGATGAAAGAGCCATCATGTGATCGCTGCTGATACGCTTCCTTCTCCATCCGGCTACTTGTGAATGACTTGCTAGGTAATTTTCTATCGCGTCTCAAACCACGATAAGGTTGCATGTATAATTAGCGGCGTAGTTGATAACTGATATGGGTATCATCCAAGCCGAACATCACGTCGCAAATGGATCAAGGGAACCAATACAACCAATAGATCCAATTCCTTCCATCCCATGTACCAAGCCAACATCCAGATTCATATCCATAACAAGTCGTATGTATTGAAAAAAGTTGCTACATATAAATAAAGCTGCTTCTATACGATGGCTAGCTGCTGTTCATGAAAAAAGGGCTGTAAGACAAGCTGCTGCAAGTAACTTAAAGACATAGTAGGAGTGAAGACCTTGCTATGCAATAGGAACTGCTGGAATGAACGCTGTTACGGTTGATCGTGGTGGAGGAGGAAGAACTCGTGTAGCATCAAGGAAGACGTGTGTTGTAGGGCGCTCGCGCCATGCTCTTGCCATTCAGTCAAAGACAATCGGATCAAGGAAGCTGCAGCATTGACATGATGGGTTGAAGCAGGACAATCATTCGCAGATGGTAGTTGTACCTGAATGGGGCAACAGTTAAGAATGGGAGGAAGAGGGAAGAAGCAAGAGGGGAAGAACTGGAAATCAACTTGATTTTTCTGATGCATGGATGATCGTCTTTTGTTTGAGCGTTGCTCAATCAAATCAACCAAGTTGAAGGATGGAAATGATGGGCTGGAGCAGGACAATCGTTCACATGCATTGGATTGGGCAATAAAAGTGAATGGAAGGAATGGGCTATCAGCCAGCAGTTTACGAGTAATTAATAAATGGCATGGATTGCCTATCTCCAATTCAACATTTGGTCACGCTGATCAACCTTGTTCTAATAAAGACTCCACGCTTGATTGTAACATTTTGAGTTACCAGTGGCTTTATCATTTACCTATGCTGTAAGCGTGACGCTAGATGAAAAGTGGTTGTCGTTCATTTCAAATAGCTAGACCTACCTAATGGAGCCGAAGATGCAGAAGGATGTGTTTGTGGAACAAAGACAAAAAGTCAAGACAAATTGGATAACGTATGATGCCTACACACTATTTAGTACCCAATTCATGTGTTGTCAGCTAACAGCCACTTTTTTCCGATCAACATTTGTTGCGAAATCCACAGCATGGGAATGATTCTCCTGCTCCAGACATTCATTTCCATGATTCAAGTAGCTCGATCAGAGCTGATTTGGTTGAATTACGGTCGAACAAGGATTAATCAGCTGGGACATTCGAATGTATGCTGATGTATGGATTCATGTAATCTCTCTTTGACCGTAGCTCAGTCACATCAGCTCGGATCAGGGAAGTCGAATGATGGAAATGTTGGACTGGAGCAGGAGAATCGCTCACATGCCATAGAGTGGGCAACAGTACCGATTGTGAGGAAATTGCTGTTAGCTCGCAGTGTATGGGCTATTGTCAATAGTATACAGTATCATCCTTCCATCCTTCCAGCCATGCAAAGTAGATGAGTTACACAAAGAGGTCCCTCTGCATCTTTTGCTCTGCCAGGGTCCAGCTACTTGGCAATCAACAAAGACCACTTCTCATATAGCATCACGCTTACAAACATAAAGATGCCTGTATCTTCAAACTTTACAATGAAACGTGGGGTTTTTATTAGAGCAATGTGCTCGGCTTGGCCAACAGCACCTTATGTGAAAGTTTCGCATTCAATGTCGCAAACAGCCCAAAAAATATTTTTTGGTCGTCGTCGTCGAAGAGGTCGACCACCAGATCCAGTTTGGCTGGTAGCGACATTGCGAAATCTGGGATTGCCCACGATGAACTTCATACTTTGACACAAGATTCCTTTGACCCCGACGAGCACGTTGATCTATTAAAGAGCCCACGTTTCATTGTAAAGTTTGGAGATACAGGCACCTTTATGTTTTACATATGCTGTAAGGGTGAGGCTATATGAGAAGTGGTCTTTGTTTAATGTAAAATAGTATGACTATAATAGAGCAAAAGATGCAGAGGGCGTGCTTGTGTAACTTGAGTCATTCAGCACAGGCGATGCATGATACTTGTACACTATTTAGGAATAGTTCTAAATGCCAGCTAATAACCTTAGTCCTCACATTCACCTTTGTTACCCGATCCAACGCATACGAACGATTGTCCTGCTCCAGCCCATCATCCCCGTCTTTCAACTTTCTTGATTCGAGCTAACCTGGTGGTAAGGTAATGGCTGTTGTTGGATCATCATCATCATGTAAAGTGTAAAATGGCACACACCCTTTTGCTATACGTGAGGATCATCATTTCTTTTATTTACGTGTACCTATTTTCTATTGCGAAGGTGATGATAATGATGGGTGGATGGTGTGTGTGGGGTCATTGAGTGGCCTCAGTGTAATAGCAGTAGGGGGATTTAAACTTGGGGGACAGCAGCTCCACGACTTGAGACAACGCTTCTCTTCTTTTTCTCCCACCTTTCCTTATTCCATTCACGACATCTCGATCATGGTAATGTATTATAGAAGAGTGCTCTTGTTGGCTGTGAGGTGTTAATGTAGTTGTGAACGTGCATTGTCAGGGAGTGAGCCGTGTCCAAGTGCTGAGGAATGAGCGTGGTTGGTGGTTGGTGGTTGCCATGGCGATACTGTTGCTTCCTTTTGCTCGTTGCTATTCCCGCTCTACGCTTGGTGTCAACAGGTACATTCAGAGTCCAATGTTGCAGCCGACTTGGTTCCATTGACGCGTCAGCTTGTACAGAGGGCAAGTTTGGTTTCAAGACGTTGGCTGGTTTGGCGTTTTGTTTCGGCTGAACTATACTACACCATGGTTTTCGGTCTCTAACAACCAGCAGCTAAGGATCTTTATGTCTATGGAAAAGGCAAGTGCAATGAAACAAACAATGAAAAGGGGCGTTTATTGGATATGTGTGCTAATAATGAATTGAATAGGTTTCTTTGGCAGGCAATGCAACTTGGGGGCATCATCATCATCTCTTTGGGCTCAAGTCCCAGCCTGTATCAAGTGGCCGCTGCGTCGCTCTGCACTAGCCAAGTGTACTGGAAAAGCTTTTGGAACGCGTCCAGGGCTCTATAGGCCTGCGTTTGAGTTGATGGGTCGATGGCGATGGATTTTTGGAAGAGCATGGTCACCGTGTTGAGGTAAAAGGGGATTTGCAACAGCTTGTGAATGTGTTTAACCAACACGCTCTTCTCGTGACAGGCTCGTTCTTTCCCTTTGAGGATTTCTTTTCATGAGGTGGGAAATGATTGGAAGGATTGGATTGGGGATCATGCTTTCTTTGGAGAGGATGAATGAGGACAACTATGAGCCTGGACTCTACGTAAGTGATGTTTTTCCTTGCCATGGATCGAACTGGCCTTGCGTGATTCGTGCAGTGCTTTCCCAAGAACAAGGGATCGCCCGGCGTTGCTCGTATGGTGGTGATTTGGTTTGTGAATTCCTTCTGATTTGGTTTCTTCCTTGGAGAGGATCGCCTAACGGTATACCAAGTCATCATTCCCGGCATCATATGGTCTAACTTGCCTGCTTTCTTATTTGTAGAGACGACGATCACGATGATTACCACATTCACAACAATGACGATTACGATGATTACCCCATCCACAGCAATGACAATGATGACGACAACGAGATACAAAAGGAAGCCTGCAAGATCCCATTCTTTTCAACTTGTGTGTTTTTGGATGTTGGTGTGACGGATGAGATTGAGGACTGGTGAGGAGTACGAGTAGGAGTACGACTACGAATGATGACAGAGGACGACTACGACGATGGTGGTGGCAATGTACAGTAGCAAGATAAGTAGATGAAATAAAGCATTGATTATTTATTAAGCATTGATTATTTATTACACGCTTGTTGGAGGTTGCTAGCTTGTGGATTACATACTATTGCTTCGAAGATGGAATAATAAAGGTGGTCCGGTTATCGGTCATGCAAGAAGTACATGGCTTTTGTGATACAATAAGGAGGAGTGGGAAGTGGGATGAGCTTGAGAAGAGAAAAAGTGAAGAGATCCCTCCATTGAGTTTCAGGATGAGTGACTCATTCAATATGTATACGTATCTTTTTACATATACAAATTGGTTTATGCAGCTCGACCTTCTCCTACATGCAAATGTGATACATACCTTGACACACCTTAATTATTGGATGCTGTTTACTTATGTACCTTCACAAAAGGCTATCATCATCATCATCCATTTATGCAACAACCTGTCAAGGACGTGTTTGTGTCACCACCACGTGTCATTTCACTCAGCTCTCTATCTTCCCGTTAGTGCAGCCGACACCATCCATTAGGACAAAGCAACTCCATCACGCTTACAGCATAGTGAAAACATAAAGACAGCCATATCTCAAGATTTCACAATGAAACGTGGGGTTTTTAATAGAGCAATGGACTCGGCTTGGCCAACAGCACCTTGTGTGAAAGCTTCGCGTTCAATGTCGCAAACAGTCCAAAAAATATTTTTTTCGGTCATCGTCGAAAGAGGTTGAGCCCTGGATCCAGTTTGGCTGGTAGCGACATTGCGAAATCTGGGATTGCCCACGATGAACTTCATACTTTGACACAAGATTCCTTTGACCCCGACGAGCACGTTGATCTATTAAAGAGCCCACGTTTCATTGTAAAGTTTGGAGATACAGGCACCTTTATGTTTTACATATGCTGTAAGGGTGATGCTATATGAGAAGTGGTCTTTGTTTAATGTAAAGTAGTATGACTATAATAGAGCAAAAGATGCAGAGGGCGTGTTTGTGTAACTTGAGTCATTCAGCACAGGCGATGCATGATACTTGTACACTATTTAGGAATAGCTCATGAATGCCAGCTAATAACCTTAGTCCTCACATTCTCCTTTATTGCTCAAACCAATGCATGTGAACGATTGTCCTGCTCTAGCTCATCATTTCCATCCTTCAACTTTCATGATCCGAGTGGATTTGGTTGAGCTACGCTCAATCACAGAAGTTTCACCCAATATGAGAAAGATCAAATTGATTAGTTATTTGTAAACTGCCATCTAATAGCCCATTCCTCCCATTCACCTTTGTTGCCCAATACAATGCATATGAACGATTGTCCTCTCCAGCCCACCATTCCCATCATTGAACTTCCTTGATCCGAGAGGTTTTGACTGAAAAACGCTCAAACACAGAAGCACAATCCGAGCAACATAAAATGAAGTTGATTACCACTTCTTCCACTCTCAGCTTCTTCCCTCTTCGTCCCATTCTCAACTGTTGTTGCATTCAAGTACATACAACTGCCACCTGCGACCGATTGTCCTGCTTCAGCCCATCATGTCATTCCTACAACTCTCTTGATCCGATTGTCTTTGACTGAATGGCAAGTTCATGGCGAGTACACAGCCTACTACAACACCCACGTTCCATGATTGCACGTTCTCTTGTACACTCTTCTGCCACAACCAATCGCAACAACGTTCATTGCAGCAGTTGCTACTAGCAAGGCCTTCACGTCATTGTCTCGAACGGCGTCGTATACTTTGCAGCAGCCTTTTTGCATGAACAGCAGATAGCCCTTGCATAGAAGCAGCATTCGCGTGTGGAATCATGTTTCAATATATACGACTTTATATGGATATTGGTCTGGTACATGGGGATGGAAGTGTTTGGGTGTACACCATACATGGAAAGAAGGGACCTTTGTCCTCAAACATTCATTGACAACCTGATCTTGGTACTTGATGCTATCATCCTGATTGATTGGTGTATTCAAATATCGTACTTTACGCGCTGTTCCATGGGAGGTACAATCATCATCATCATCATCATCCAACTTTATGTTTAGACATGCCATGCATATGATCTACCACCACGCATCAAATGCCACCTCACGTTCCTCCAACACGTTTGCATAATGCACACTCCTAAGGATAGAAACTTCCCATATCGATGTATCTCCTATTGCATCACTATTTCGTGTCCATTCTACTTCTGGTGGATGACGTTGGATTAAAAGATTGCTCTAATGAAGACGGCATTGCGTTGGTCAGGCATTTCCGATTTTAATAAGACTTCCCTTCTTCCTGAATTTGACATGATCCTGTGAGGTATTTCATGCAATGTATTATAGAAAGATGTAGATATGGCAAATGCACGATTGTGGAAGATCGCACACTTGTGAATGCTATGGCAAAGGAAAAAAGACAAAGAAAAAGGGGTCTCATTGATTGATTGTGTCTTGAACAAACCCTGTATTACAGCTCAATTGCGTTTGAATCTTGTTGACAACGTCGTAGAAATGTACGCTTTTGTGATTTAGATTCTGTAAGATAGTCGTCACTTTATCAATACACGACAAGAGATGCATTCGTATTCAATGATGGTGTATGCTGCTGATCATGATATCGACCATGATGATGTATAGTTATAGATGCTCGTATGTAGCCATGCACCTATATGACCCATTGATGATGATGACCTTGTTTCTATGCCTACTCCTTAATCAAGTTCACGACCAAGATATAAAATGCAAAGTCGTGTGCTTGTTTGTGCTTAAAGGGCTCTGAGCTTTTCATGCAAGGATACACCCCACATACTTGATCCCTGGTCGGGTGGCTATGTGTGACTCGATGCATACCTGTGTAGCTGAAATTGTGTGCCATCACCAATGTTATTAACCGCCAATGACACATTGGTGTATACTCCACGTGATCAATCAACAAGGCTTTCTTTATTCATCAAATGATTCTTCCAAAGATCTCATTTTCTGTAGTATCAGCGTTTCCAATGTATTCGATCCAAAAAGTGCAGTATAAACATCACCTAAATTGGATGCTGTGTCCAGATTGAACGATGGGTTTGCATGGTAGAGAAGTGAATGAGGGGGATGCTGTGTCCAAGAGAACATGATTTGTATCTCAAACAGGAATAATCGCCATAATGCAATAGGGTCGTCTATCCGAGGGATATGTAAACCGAGCAATCCTAGCACACCATAGATGTAATCCCTTTGGTCTGTACAGCGTCTAGTAGACTGCTTAAACGTAGATAGTATCTGCATACATTCCACTGCTCTTGCTTCTGGATCCCTTGGCATTGACAAGTGATGGATAGTATCGGATGTCGCAATCATTTTGGTCTTCTCGTAAATCTCATTGATTAATCGATTGGCAAGATCATCATTATCCATCGTGGTATAAACTGTGGTCGTCATTAATGTGCGTCTTCTCGCATACTGGAATAAGACTTACTCGATTTGAGCAAGTGCCCAAATTGCACCACCGAATTCAAATTGACATGGGATGTGGATAATGCGACTTTGCTGGGATCACATGTCTCTGATAATATAACAAGCCGAGCTGGCAATGTCATCTCTTGCATAGTCCATACGCGATCAAACCATCGACATCCAAGAAATTCCAACATGTTTTGCATTCTCCTTCTGCAGATGGCGTAGTCGATCATTTTCCCTTGGTCATCTTCACTTGCATTGATCAGGTCTTTGAATTGAGCATTATCCAGCGTACCATCAATGAGCTGTTGTGCATGGTGATAGAGTTGTTTTGATATTGGCATCAAATGGTGGTCACAAAGAGATTCAATGATGGTAGGTGAACAATCGATCATGGCGAAGCAAGTGGTACAATAGGCGTAAATGAATCGCATAATCACCAAGGGCGTAGTAACACGAGCACATAGTACATCGACCCACCAATAGCCTGGGTATGCTTTCAAAAGAGCCAATAGAACTCCACGCTTTTCAGGTCGCATAGGAATTGGATCGGCTGGAAGATTTTCTTCCGTTTCCTTGACAACGTCCCCAAGATCCCAATAAGGATGATCCTCGACATTTCCCCATAAATGCGACAAGGCAAAGAAGCCACCCATACGCTTGATATTTCTACGATGATCCACATCCACAGCAGGCCGTACAATCTTGATTTTGCTGTCTTGGTTGCTCACATACAATAGTCGAAGGTCTGGATGTGCCAATAACCGATCACGTGCCTGTTCTTTTTCTTTACTGGGAGTTGCTTCATGATATAGGAATTCGACGCTATCCTTTTCAACTACTTTTTTCGCGGTCCTCATTGTCTCCATGGTGGCCATTACTGTATTTCTTTCTGATCGTCCACCTCAATTCAACGCAATGGGCAGTCCTTGTGTATCGGCCGAGAGTATAATAATGCGTTGCTGAGAAGAAAATGCACCAATGAAAGCAGGTACGATATACGTGGGATTAATCGAGAATGTGTATATTCGCTGATCACATTGTATCACACGCTGTGGACGTACAAAGAAATGATTGTGGCGTACACAATGATGCTATTTCCCATCTCTTTTACTTGCATTACCATGATGGATTCTCTCGGGCCATTTTCCCCACCATCGTTGCTCTATCCTTCTGCCAATTACATTTCATCCATTGCCAAGGAGATCAAAGAAAGACATGTTCACCGTGTAAAGACTCATAAGGAATTCAAGGTAAGAAGAGGTGGAAATATGAATGAGAATCTAGTACAGTAAACATACAGCAATAGACAAAGAGCATCGCTACCCATTATGATGAAGAAGCTAAAGAGAAGATGGATGATGATACAACAGCTCCAACGTGGCCGCCACTAGAAGATTATCTGCCATTGTCACGACAAAAGGAGTTTCTTGATCTTTATTATACTCATGTGCATCCATTGTATCCAGCCATTGATCGCAATTACATGCAAAAGCAGCTTGACAAGTGCAAGAACAATGATCCATCTTCAGCTGTTTGGCCTTTCTTTTTTTATACCGTGTTTTCCATGGCAACCCAATACTCCGATTCTTTGTGTCACCATCTCGCTGATTATTGTTTACACCAAGCTCTATCCTGGCATCAAATCCACAAAACACAATCACCCTCCATTATGACCGCGCTAGCATTAACGTTACTCGCCAAATGTCTCGAGCTTAGTAAAAAGCAAAACCATCACGTGGCACGGACGTGGAAGATCGCAGATGAGGTTTTTCAAGTGGTCCAGCACCTTGGGTTATATAGCACGACGACTTGCATTGATGATCTTTTTAATGACGAGAGAGAGAAAGAACGTGCTGTACGGATCTTTTGGATTGCACACACGTATGATCATTTTTTGGGTATAACAACAGGTCGACTTCCAGCCATTGATGAAAGAAAAATGTGAGGGTTGTTTTTTATTGCTAGAACGATAACATGCCTAGCTAACATTTTGGTATCAGAAACATCCCGCTACCCAAATGCTTGCAAGCCGATGATGAAAACGACCGATCACACCTTGAACATTTCCTTGGTCTTATTGAAATCAGCAAAGGAGCTGGTCGGATCATGCAATTATCTCCTGGGCCAGCTGGTTTGTGTGCTCATTCAATTGTAAGTGATACGATCATGTATAAGACATGTTGGCTAATACTTGGAAAAGCATGCAGAAGCTATACTATCCAGCTGTGATACATGGATTTGCGAAGAGCTAAGGAGGTTACAAACATCGACGGCCCACCGATTGCATATTACAGAAAGAAGGCTCATACTTTATGACTTGTTGATCCTATTGCACAAGCCCTTTTTGGAGGATGGCGAAGCCAAGGAAAATTGGAACAAGAAATGCTTGAAAACTTTACCGCATTCTCACCGCATATGTACAGACACCGCCATCGTCATCACTGATACCATTTGTGAGCTTGCCTTGGATGATCTTGAATACTTAGGCAGGAAGCAGGAATGTTTCCATGCTCTTTTAACTGCCACAAGGATCCATCTCTTGAACACGTCCATTCCAGATAATGATGCAGCGGAAATGATACAAGGGAAGATACATTTTGCGCATAGCATGGCGGCCTATGAGGCATTGGCACCAACATCATCTCAAGCAGCTGGAATTTATTCACTCTGGCATCGTAGTATGAAGCAATCCTTTTGACTACAATAAAACTGAGACGTTCCTAGACAATTAGAAGATGTCTCTTATTGGTTATGATGATTTATCGATTATTCATGCAACTCGTAACTTTTTATTTCAAGAGTGGGTATGTTTCAGTTTGTCGGACACGGTTCCATCTCAGGCACGTGTGTGGAGGTGGTTCATATCACGTGCGTCTCTCTTAAATATGTAGATTTCTCAAACGTGCATTACTGTTTATGGTAGTGAGGAGAATACGCGTGTTATGTATATACTCGGAGAGTGGGTGGGTGGGGGGCTGTGTTTCCATCAAACACAAAGGTTGCCTTCAGGGGGTCCTCTTTTTTTTTCTCTCAGAATGACGCATCCTGCCACGGATTCGTTTTCTTTTCGTGTCTTTGACCATTACCCCACAACACCACTCGAGGTCTCTTTCACTCTATCCTTCAACGCCATCACCACTTGAACGTACAGCAAGAGTCGTACGATCGCCCATTGAATAGTTCACAGCGGCATAATTAGCAACCAACACGAGGTCGTCGAGATTGCTTCATCTCTTGGAGTCGACCCTTTCAACAAAACACGACATCTTGTACGTCATCCAATACCATGCATAGGCAACACCAACAGCAGCAGCAGCAACAACAACAGCAACAACCACGTCGTCGTTCCTACGATGGGCACTTTCACAGCTCTTCTGCAACCAATACGGCGAACAATACCAATGATCTATTATCGTTACCCAAACAACGACGACCGAGTCCTGTTCCTTCAGTATCATTGAGTGCTACTCCCACGAGCAGTAGTCATCATCATCATCATCATCACCATCATCATCCTCATTTGCAACATTATCAAAAGCATCTTGACAAGCATATCCCTTTTCCTCGAGGTGGACGACACATTGATGAAAACGAGGCAGCTGGCAAGTTACATGGCCCATATCCTATACGATACGTTTATCAATAACTTATGTCTACAATAGAACAGCAACAACCTACACCAAAGAAACGGCATTTATTTGGACGTTTTGGAAAGAAAAAGAGTAAGATACAAGGAAAGGGGGTGTTTGATATCGTTGATCGATCCTTGTGTTTCCCCCCTAAATTCTTATTTCTCTCTCCTTAGGTTCCTCATCATCGAGTCAACATGACAGCAGCAATGGATCAGCAGTAACAGCATCAAGCAGTAGCAGCAACAATACGCCACATATCAATGTACGAAATGACTCGTTGAATACCACTGCATCATCCTCAGCAGCATCGACATTATCCTTGGCATCAAGTTCACTTTCTACAGCATCCACACTGGTTCCGCCACTACATCATCCACAACAACAGCGTAAAGGTTCCAGCCATAGCGACCATCATCATTATCACATGTTGGATACTGCAAGCATGTTTTCCGAATACAAGAAATCAACAACATCCACATTGGGCCGTAAAGGGAAGGAAGCATCGCATCGTCATTATCCACGACGTTCGATCAAGGTATGTGTCTTAGGGTGTTTGATGATGGTAAAAGATATTAATGATGCCCATAGGAAATTGAGTGTAAGATAGGATGATGATGATGTCGCGTGGGAAATTGAGATCAAGCTTGCATTAACATGTGGGAATTCTATAGTGGATCAGAATTTTGGATGCATGGATGGCATTGTCAACCCCGATTATTACACAGCATCAACCATCACCACCAGCACTGCTTCTATTCATCCAACAGAGGTATTTATATATGGACAAATGTTGGATAGCAGGATGACTCACACAGCATCTATGATAGCAATGGGATGAGTCGGCCACCGATTGGGCACCACCGGATAGTTGGGGCGTACGACCACCCACAGGACCAGAAGCTGCAGTTTCAGGTGGCATGGTAGCACCATCAACGATCGGCATTGATGATGATATCCAAGACTTTGAAGATTACACCATCGATGATCAAGACAAATATCAGGTGCCACGCAAGAATGTAAGTATTTTGTTCGGAGGATGGATGAGCAATGCGTTAAACGTTGTTGTTTACTAGTTTTGTATCCGGATCTTCAGACAAGATGGGACATTCGGCACACTACAAATGCCATTGCAGATCACCACCAACGAATTATTGGATAAACTGGCAGGGAAGTTCTTTTTGACCGACATGAAAAAGTACAATTTGATCCTACGCAGATATGACCTTGGTAAGTACTCGATGGAATGATCAAAGCGATGGATACTCATACCCAAATAGATCGCGTGCTGCAACCCCATGAACGCCCTCTCCAAATCCAAAAGATGCTATTTGAGCAAATGGGATACACCAGCCAGGATAAGATTGAAGATGTTGGATTGGAAGACAATTCATACTTGCTACGATTCGTATTTGGCCCCAACTTGGCTCAAATCCTACCCAAGGAGCCTGAGATCCCTCCGCAGCAACAACAGCAACAACAACAACAAAATCAGCAGCAGCAACAGCAGCCATTGCGTCACGTGGATTTGAGACGACGTAACTTGACAACCATCCCCATCTTTTTATATGAGCATGCAGCTACCTTGGTGTCCTTGGATGTATCACAAAACCTGTTGATGGAGATTCCAGTGGATTTTGCACAAATGTGCACTGAATTACGCCAATTATCGGTAGCGGATAACGAATGCCACGTTATTCCTCTCTCAGTCAAGCATGTGGGTTCCGGTGCATTGGAACATCTTGATGTCTCTGGTAATCGATTGCGGGACCTGGATCATGGCCATGTGGAGATTCATCGATTGACACGGTTGATCAGCTTGAGAGCACGCAACAACCGATTGGATCATTTGTCACCAAGTCTTGAGAGTTTACAGCAATTGACGACATTGGTGATATCGAATAATGCATTTACGACATTCCCTGATGTGATTTGTACGTTACGAGCACTTGAATACCTGGATGTGAGCTTCAACAAGATACCCACCTTCCCTGAAGAGATTGGTCAATTGACCCAATTGGAGTCCCTTTTCGCTATTGCCAATCGATTGACAGGTGCTCTTCCTCCTACCTTTGTCCAACTTGAGAAATTACGTGAATTGGATATTCGACAAAACCTTATCAGTGATATGGAAGTGCTTGAACATATGCCAGGCCTTGAGACATTACGAGCGGATTATAATTCAGTCATGATTGTCAACCATGGATTTGCTCAAGTACGACGTCTTGATATGTACAAGAATCGCCTCACCCATTTTGGCATCTTACCACCCCCCTCGCCCGAGGTATCCTATGCATTATCGTACTTGAATCTCAGCAACTGCAAATTGCCATCTCTCCCTGATGATATTTTCACTCACACGCCACAAATGGAAACCATCGTCCTTGACAACAATACATTGAATGCTATCCCATCAAGTGTTGGCGGATTGAGGAAACTGGTACGGTTATCGGTTCAAGGCAATCAGCTTGATAGTCTTCCCCCTTCCATGTTTGGTGGCCTTGAAGAATTGCACTATTTGGATTTACAAAAGAACAACTTGAAGACACTTCCCAGTGAAATTTGGAGTTGCCCAAAGTTGCAATCACTCAATTGCAGCTCCAATCTGTTACAAACATTCCCTCAACCATTTTCCGAATCAGGCAGTATTATCACCTCATCCTCTTCAGCACTTGCCATGGCAGCAGCAGCAGAATCTCCTGTTCATCCACATCACCATCCACATAATGCGGGTCAAAGTGCTTTGGGTCAGCAACAACAACAACAACAACAGCATCAGGAGCAAGATATTGACAATGGAGGAGGAGGAGGAGGAGGGCAACAACAACAACAACAACATGGCGTGGAACGTGGAGCCTCTTCTTCTAATTTCAATCCACCATCCTTTTTCGCCAGTCCACACAACCATCCACCCCCTTTGTCACTCTCCTTGCGACAATTGTTCCTTGGTGATAATAGGCTCAAGGATGATGTTTGGTCACCTTTATCATGGATCATGGAATTGCGCACGCTCAATCTCTCCTTCAATGACTTGACCGAAATGTTAGCAGAGGCTTTCTTTCATAAGCACTTGTACGAGTTGTATCTTTCGGGGAATCACTTGACATCATTACCAGCAGAGGATATGGAGAAACTCAGCTATTTACGCGTGCTGGCTGTCAATGGAAACAAGCTACAGACCATTCCTGCTGAAATTGGCAAGCTGAGGAAGCTATTGACTCTGGATGTGGGTAACAACATGTTAAAGTACAACATCTCCAATTGGTTGTATGACTGGAATTGGTAAGTCGATATCACGTCGTCATGTGTGATTCATTTATTGATCATTTGGTATGTAGGAATTGGAACGTTGGACTCAGGTATTTGAACTTGTCGGGCAACAAACGATTGGAAATCAAACGCACACAACAACCCACCTTGACGGGTAATGGACCAAGTGGCGCAATGAATCCAGGGAGTGGAGGTCCAACATCTTCAGCAGCGGCAGCGGCAGCAGCTGCAGCAGCAGCAACAGCCAACATGATGGAGAATGCCCCTGAAAAAGATCTTTCCGATTTCAGTGCATTGACAAAATTACGTATGCTTGGATTGATGGATATCACCATGTTGGGTGTTTCAGTCTTGGAAGAATACCATGATCGACGTGTGCGTACTTCCCTCTCTGAAGTGAATGCTATGGGCTATGGTGTCGCTGATTGGTTGGGGTCCACGGATCATCTTGCCACATGGGATTTGGTGATGCCTCGTTTCCGCAACAGAGACGATGAATGTATCTTTGGATTATTTGATGGAAGTTCAGCCATGCAACAGCAAAGACGAAAGGGCAGCATGATGGGTGGAACCAGTGCCACAGGTGCTAGCGGTGGATGTCGTCTTACCAAGTTCCTCAATGACAATTTCCATTATTACTTGATGAACGAACTTCGACGTAGCAAACAAGATGATACGATTGTGGCTGCTATGCGACGTACATTTTTGGCCCTTGAACGTGGAGCAGCCGTAGCAACAGCCCAACAGCAACAACAAGATCCACGTCGCGGTGTGATGATGGGCGCTGCTGGTGGTGGTGGATATCATGACACGACTTGGGAAGGTGCATCCGCTGTAGTGTGCTATATTGCAGGATCCAAGTTACATGTAGCCAATGTGGGAGACGCTATGGCAGTCATGTCTCGAAGCAATGGACAGGCGTATGAAGTGACCCAAAAGCACATTGCATTGAATCCAAGTGAAGCATCACGTATTCGAGCAGCGGGTGGATTCGTATCGAATGATGGATTGTTGAATGGCCAATTGACCGTATCACGCAGCTTTGGTTATCTCCATTTGATCCCTTCTGTCAATGCCAATCCCTATGTCGCCACCATCGACCTCACAGAAGATGATGAATTTGTGATTATGGCGTCACGTGGTCTTTGGGAACGCATGACCTACCAAACAGCTGTTGATATTGCACGCACTGAAAAGGATGATCTTATGGCAGCTGCCCAGAAACTCAGGGATTTTGCTATTACGTATGGTGCTGAAGAATGTATCATGGTCATGGTCATTGGCGTGGGTGGACTTTTTGAGACAAAACAACCTCCTCCTCCTCTTATGGCACATCCATTACGCACGAACATCCATCTTGAAGAATTGAGTGGGAAATACAAGCGACGTGGGATCAAGGATGATAATCTTGGTGATTCGGTAAGTTAAGGCATTGTACATACATATGGCACGCATGACTTATCCTATGTACGTATTATAGACATTGGCACGCTTGGAACGTGAAGTGCCACCACCTGTCAATCATTTGGCTTTGGTGTTTACGGATATCAAAAACTCGACTCAATTTTGGGAGACACAACCTGAGAATATGCGATCGGCTATCAAGCTTCATGATGCCGTGATGCGACGTGCCTTGCGTAATGTGGGTGGATACGAAGTCAAGACCGAAGGTGATGCATTCATGGTATGCTTCCAAAGTATCACGGCAGCTCTCTTGTGGTGTTTCACAGTGCAATTGCAATTACTCGAAGTGGATTGGCCTGGTGGTATCCTTGAGTCTGAGGATGGTCGAGAGATTGAAAAGGATGGCATTGTCATTTATCGTGGTTTATCGGTGCGTATGGGTATCCATTGGGGTGCTCCTGTTTATGAACGCAATCCCATTACCAATCGTATGGATTACTTTGGTCCTGTGGTCAACAAGGCTTCTCGCGTCAGTGGTGCTGCCGATGGTGGTCAAATTTGTGTATCATCCGATGTTGTTGCTGCATTGAGGAATCTGGCCGGTGTATTCTCTGAAGAAAAGCAAAAGAATGACGACGAGGAAGAATCATCCAATACGAGTGACGATGACGAGGAAGATGAAGAGGATGTCAATGAATTGGGTATTGGAGGAACATCATCCAGCATTGTCAAGCCATACAATTGTTACAATATGAGCACAAAGGAAGTACATCAGCTGAAGCGACTTGGATTCCACGTGGTTGAATTGGGTGAACGACGGCTTAAGGGATTGGAAACACCCGAAATTCTCAGTCTTGTGTATCCCAAACAACTTGCAGGTCGCATTGAAAAGAACAATCTGATATCTGAACCTACACCTGCTACTGCTACGACGACCACAACAACAACAACAGCAACGACGCCTAGTCCTTCGGCTACTACACCAACACCTGATGTCATGTTACAAGAGCAAGCATTACAAAATCAGGATGATACCACGACCTACATTGAGAAAAGAACAGTGAATACGACCATTGATCCTGCGTTGGTATGCGCATTGAGCAACTTGGCCATTCGACTTGAACGTGTTACTGCTGGGGGCAATTTATGTCAACAACGTGCAGGTAGCGCCATTCAAAGTCAATACACATCAGCAAATGCGGATGGTAAAATTGCTACCACGGCAACCACGGGTCTTGGATACTGGCTTGATCGACACATGAAAGAAGGTGCATCGGATGAGGAACTTATGGTGCTCATGGAAAACTTTGTGGCAAGAGTAGAGGTAATAAGGTTGATTACAAAGGTGGATGACAACATGAGATTTAACATTTAGTGGCTATGTAGAATGCGGCATCGACTCTGTATCTTCAAAAGATGGGTCAATTTGCAGGTGTATTGGAGCAATTGGGACAAATTATCGAGACGGACCCTGATCATATCTTACGAGCATTGCAAATGTATGCTGATCTTGGCAATTAAATGTACATACCCACCATCACTTTTATTCCCAATCCAATTACATGTATCTTTTTCCAAATGTTGGGTTATGTGTGGGTGGATGACTATGGGATGGAGTGGGGAATCAATCTCCTTCTTTATGAAAGCAATTTACCAAGAACGCTGAAAGGAAACACGAGCACAATGAACGAGAAAGGTTAGGGATCGAGTACACAGTAAGCAATTCGACTCAAGCTTGCAATGGATGACAGCATCACCACACCTTTATGGCACTTTTCGGTAACGATCCTTGTTCAACAACCCGGGTGATGATGATGGATGATTATACCTGTATTGGATAATGCGAATCAGGACCCTTCTCCACGATGCTGTTTTCGTCTCCATGGGAACAAGGTATACTTCTTCACATTAACCACAACCAGGTCATGTAGGATATCATCAAGAGGACACAGCCCATAGATATCAAGGAATCTCACACGTTGTCAATCCCACCCTCTCCCATATCCACCTTATCAGCTGTCATCCAAATGTTCAACATGTACACATTCTCGAAGGCTTTCTTTAATACACTTAAATCAATATACTATCACAATAAAAATCGTATCGTACTATAAAACCACCATCACAGGAATTAGTATCAGCACACCCAAACACACAATCGACTACTTACCTGGTTTCCCGCCAAAAGGCTCTGTTGTCTTCACAAGGAAGCTGCATTGATTTCGAAGACACCCTGTTTCATCCAAGCCATTATACTTGGAGCAGATGCTGGGATCGGGAGGAGAGACGCACGAGCGCTTGTAGATGTTTGTCACCGTTTCTATGTACATCCATAAAATGAGCAATCATGTTGACTAGCGTATACAATCCATTTACGTTTGAGATGATCAGAAATAAAAGGACCAGTAGCATCCACCTTGTACGTGCATGGCTCATTTCCACATTTGCTGACGAGCTTGAGTGTTTGGCATTCTTTGTTTTGGGAACAGCTTACGACGGCACTCAGCAAACCGATGGCAACAAGGATGGGATGGATGATCTTCATATTGGCAATACTGTGGTGATTCTTTAACAATGGACAGCTTTGCATATGGTGTCCTTTTTATATTGTAGAAGCTCATTGTCCCCATTCATTCAAGTCCCCTTGCCCCTAAATAAAAGGTCCTCTATGGTATGGATCAATGAGACCTTACATACATACAATGAATGTTATCGATTGACAACAATGAGGCCCATCCCTATATAGCTTGTCGTCAATGTATGTAAACCGCGAGGAATGATTGAAAACTGGGTCGCCTTGACCTTGACAACATTTGCAGTAATTGCATAATTGGATAACAATGACCCATATGAAACGCGTGGTTCAGGGAATCATAGCATGCTATCATGGAAAAGTGTGGATGTTGTCATTGTTCATAGTGTCCAAGCAATGAGGGTAAGCTTTTATGACTCATTGGATTGCATAAGATATTACGCTGTTGGTCAATGTATGATTTTATCGACAGCGAAAAAGACGTGAAAGATGCTACTTGCCGTTGTATTGTTACCAACTCGCAAGAAAATGTGTTTTATAATGCACTTTACACACGTTGTTGCCTGTTCTTTGATAAACACGCAATATTGCTACTTGACAACAGGGAGACTATTATACGTCCAATGCTTGCATAATCCAACACAATGATGATGGCGTTGTTTTTGTGTAACGAGTATGGCTTTATGTATACCATAGCGAAATCATCAGCATGATGGTATCCATGGCAACGGCAGACGCGTATCTTGGTTATCTAAAATCTTATCAATCATGAAGCCCCTGGAATAAAAAGAAGGTTCAACGTGGGAACGATACGTGGGGTGCACCAGGATAGCACGGTCCAACAAAGCAAACAGCACGATTACATCATCGATAACAAGCGACTTTACTATTTTGAGTAGGAGGATAATATACAAAGGGGGCGGCGAATAGGTATAACATGATTTCTTCAAAGGCGGGATAACAATTCTTGGATCTTGGATGATTGGGCTCGAAGGGTTTCGTGATGTTCTTTTATCAGCTTTACAGCGTGTTTTGCAGAACCCCAGCTGGCTTGATATCCTGAACCATCATGGCCGTAATTGTGTGCAACCAAAATAGGTTTACCAGAAGGCGACACTAATCATGATGATAACGACCGTGTGAGTGAGAGATTTCTTGACATGTGTTTGCGTGGTTACCTTTGACTTCAGTCTCCACACGAGGTCCACCATTTCGTTTAGGACGCAGTCCAATGATATCGCCAACCACATCCAATCTTTCAATCCCTTTACCATTGGTTAATTCAGGACAATGCTTGCATGCTCGCTCCATAATGTCCTTTGCAATAGCTGGATCTGGTTCAGCACTCCTTCAAGAAAACGTTAGGCAACAGTAATACGCATCACCTTGTACCACACACGTACCTGTTTCCTTCATCCTTTGTCGTTCCCAGGATCACTGTGCCATCTGCTCGTGGGATTACATAGGTATATTCTTGCTTTGCTAAACATCCTTTGTAAACATACATGTCTCCATAATACGCACCAAGTAAAACTTACTCTTCACGGAGATAGTTTTTCGGATGTGCTTGGCACGTACCACGACATTTTGTCCTCGTACGGGCTTGTTGATGTGTGGATCATTGACACCTTGAATTCCAGCAGCATGCATACCAGCACAATTAACAATAATATCCACCGTGTTTTGAGGATCATCCATGGCATCCGTAAGATTGGAAATTTCAACGTGCTTTCGTTTGCCACCGAGTGCAACAAATTGTGATTGGAGCCATCTCAAGTATCGTTCTGGGGTGATAGCCACTGATGCGTGCATGCGTGTGGATAAGTCAACAAGGAACAAAAGATAAGCGTATGCATCAATGTACCTACCTGTTGTGAAGGTATACCCAATATCAACATCCTTTGGAAGCTCTTTGCGTGAAAGCTTTCGGAACTACATGTATGCATAAAGTTTTACTTAGCAAAAACCTTCTGAGAGCCAACCCTGATTGGTCGATACGTTACACCAGGAACCACCTTCTTCCACCATGGGTTGCGTTGATCAGCAGTAGGATCCTTATAATAGTCAAAGGCAGGGATCACCATAATACCAGTTTCATCCGCACGACACTTTGCCAGCTCCCAAAAGATTTTGAATGAATCAGCATCATAGCCTGGTAAAGAATAAAGTATAAGCTTCTTCATGTCGCACATCATCATCATCATCATCCTCAAACGAGTACGCCACATACGTTGTAAGCGAGCATCATCATTAGGAGCTAACGTTTTCCACCGTGCACCTGCCCATGGCGATGTATAGTCGATGCTCATGTCACCAGGAAAGTGCTTTGCGAGGATTGTCACATCATAGCCTTCAATGAGAAGGAGTGTTGCCGTAGTCAAACCAATGACACCAGCACCAATAACATGTACTTTGGGGACGCGTTTCATATTTTAGAAAGAAATAAAGAGGAAAAAGAAGGAGGGATTCTACGATGGGAAGGGGAAGAAAACACACACGCGCACACACTTTTTATGCAAACAGCTGATTTTTAATGCAGAGCAGCTGTGGGAAGTAACACATGTCCGCAATTTGCCGGTGGGAAAAATTGCTGGATATGAATTGGCCCTGATGCCCATGCTGATAAGGCTTATATAGCACTAGCAGGTTTATAAGGCATGAATGGGTTTATATGGTATGTGTGAACATCTTTTATGAATGTACGTCGTGTATCAACAAGATGAGCATCGATGGGGCCGGTGGTGTGCTTACATACAGGGTATACGATGTTGGTGGTGCGTGTCAATGCGTGATCGTTGTCGGTATCAAATGTCAAGTGGATGGACGCTCGGGCCGCAAAATCAATCATGCCATGTTATAAATGTACCCCAGCAGTAGATGAAAACGTGTGTCCTTGTTCTATAAAATTCTCGATGACAGACCTGGGGTATCACGAGATGAAAAATCCCGATAGTCACCGGGCTGTGCAAAATCATTCCGAGCTATACTTGTCATTGCATGTATCTAAAAGTGTTGCTTGGTAATCGTTGACTCTTTACCAGAACTGGTTCTTTATAGGTCAAAGATGATAAGCAAAATGAGTCATCCATGGTATGTGTGAGTTGATGATGATGAGGATCCTTTAGATGATCCATATGGACTTCTCCATCCTCTCCCCACATTCATACGGGTGGTCAAGAACGTTGCGTGTCATTTTTATCATTGTCATGCTTTAGATTTTATTATGATGGCATTGGGCATCACTCCAACAGCGGTAGTTAAGAAGGTATGTATGCTCAACAACAAAGATGATGAAGGAAGATGTGTGATGGTACATATCAAGGATACATGTATCTTTGTCCATTTGTATGGCTATAATGAAGGGGAATCATCCATCTTCAATCAATCTGAATCATGCGATCCAAAACCATTTCGAATGCAAGGGAGCAGACCAATGCCAACAACACGTGCGGCAATAATGGCTGTTGGAAGCTTGAACAGCGTAATTGGATTGGTTCACTGTTACCTTGAAAGAGAGTAAAAGTAGATGCTGCACTAGCCTTGGAAAAGTGATGATGTATCTAGGCAACCGATGTATGTTTCCTATTCGCCGTTTACGGGGTTCTGCATGATTGGCGGGTCTCTAAATCACGGCGTGGTTCTCCACAAAGTAGCTTGTGTACCTCTTCCTCCGTCGCTTTACTTTCCTTTCCCTCATTTCACCAACAGCATGCATTTCAACGTCCATTGCAAGTTGCCGTCGAGCTGATCAACCGACAAAAGGTAGTGGGAGAGTGCAACATGGCAAAAGAGGAGGGGCATCATTACCATTCAGCTACGTCTACCATAACACACGAATATGGACGACCATGTACGAACATACGTTACGATAAGGGTAGACGACTTTATGATGTATACAATAAACGATTGATTTGAGTACTTTGATACAGCAGCTTGATGTGGGTGGGATGATTGTTTTCGTATGACATGATCTTTGCAACGTATAACCAAGACACCACACAATGACCCCATCAGCATGAAGGATTATGGACTACGTCCAATGGCCATCCTCGAAAGGAAGCAGGAAAGATGATGGTGATATACTACGAGACGACTACAAGAGAAGGTGGATAAAAGGAAGTATGGAGCAGGGACCTTTGAACACAAGGAACGCCACTCGTTGCTGTTACTCTGGATTACGTTATCAGTTCAAGGATCAGAGTTTGTCTTGGAGTTGACACATGGGTTGCACAACAAGCTCTCACGCTATTACGCTTCTCTACGACGTTTCATCGATTGCAATATATGAAGCTCGGCGCTAGAAACACCTCTTTAGTCGTCATATTGATATACCCTATTGATCAATAAACCTATGCTGAAAGAATGAACATTGGCTTGATTGCTGCTGATCGTCTGATCCACTTTGTTGGAATTCTGACTATGTTTCGGATGGATGTACGATCCAAAAAAAGTCCAATCAAATATAGTGATCGGTTGGCTAATTAGGAATCATGGAAAGAAAAAAAAAAGGAGAAATGATCCTCGCACATGCCAAATCAGAATGTTGCCACGCATACTCAAGATGTATGATACCCGATTTGTAACAGGAACGCGTCATTGTTATTCCAAATATGGATATCCCTGGGAGAAAGATTCACCGTGGTTTCATTGTCAAGACGTATACTTTGCTTGAAAAAAGCCCTAACATGGCATAAAGACGACGATTTTCAATCGACAGAACCTCATCAAACAGCGGCCATTTCTTCATACTATGCATTGTAAGGTATCTCGCATGAATCTTCTTTGATAATAATAAAACGGATGAGTCACCGCCCTGTCTCCGACCAACTGGGTTTATGCAAAAAAGAACGAAGCATAGGTGCTTCTCCGAAAACTATATATATAGAGCAAGAGATCAGCGGCTCCCAAGAATAGCTGGCTTAAAATTTTTTTCTATACCACACTATGGACCCCAAACAACCCGATCCTACCACTATTACTACTACTACCCCACCTAAAGCATTAGAAGCTGGAGAGCAAAAGGCTGTCATTGATAATGCCGAACAGGCTGAGGAAGAGTACACTGTATTCTCCAAGCCTAGGCGTATGTTCATTGCTGTCATTGTCTCTTTTGCTGGATTACTCTCCCCTTTTTCTTCCACTGTGTATTACCCTGCCCTTACAGAAATCAACAAGGTATGCCCAATAGGGTGGGTGTACCTTTTTAGAATAGCAATAGTCTAATCCATAGATCATCATTATAGGAATTTGACGTCTCTACCACCTTGGTCAATGTGAGCGTTTCCGTTTACATGATCTTTCAAGCATTGACTCCCTCATTTTGGGGATCACTTGCTGATATTTGGGGTCGTCGTCCCGTGTACATTAGTACTGAGATTTTGTATGTGGGGATTTGTGCTGGCCTTGCCAATGCACCTAGTTTCCCCGCACTTTTGGTGCTGCGTATGTTCCAAGCAGCAGGAGCTAGTTCAGCTATTGCATTGGGTACGATAATAATAAACCATCATAATAAAAAGGGGGGATGTGGATGGGAGAGAGAAAAACATGGTGGAGGTTTTAAGAAAGCATTATCTAATCATTGCTTCTTCCTGCTTTATCTATAATATGCAGGTGCCGGTGTTTTGGGTGATACCATTGTTCCTGCAGAGTAAGATAATGTCTGTGCGTATGTGTTACGATGATCTAATACCCGCCGTCTCCACCTTTTTTAAATAGACGCGGTGCCTATTTTAGTGCCTTTACATGCTGTCAAATGATGGCGACATCGTTGGGACCCGTGATCGGCGGTGCCATTGCACAGACCCTTTCTTGGCGGTGAGTGGTCCAAAATGCATGAATAACCACTTTTTCTTTGCTAAACGATTTCGAAAACACAGGTGGATTTTCTACGTTCTCATGATCATTGGCGGTGTAGCCCTTGTGGCAGTCTTTTTCTTTTTACCTGAAACGTTGCGATCACTTGTAGGAAATGGGTCCGGCTATGCCAATCCCACACCTACACAATGGTTGCGTAAAAAAGCTCTCCAGCAGGAAAATAATAATGATGCTGCTGCTGCTGCTGCTGTAAAAGAACCTTCTCTCTCTCGTTTTCTTAAATTTCCTCGTGTGTGGCAACCGTTTCTGTACTTGTTGCAGCCGGATGTTGCATTCATGATGATTTCAAATGGATTGGTTGCTGCCATGTTGGCTGTTTACATGACAACCACGCCTACCCATTTTGAAGCAATCTATGGTCTTGATGAATTACAAGTTGGCCTGTGCTATTTGCCATTTGGTGGTGGATGCGTGTTGGCATCCTTTATGCAAGGCCGTATCTTGAACAGGGACTTTCGAGCTGTCGCACGCAAACTTGGTTATACATCACCTGAAAAACTCAAATCTGGCAACCTACCGGCGGATTTTCCTATCTTCAAGGCTCGTTTGAGAACCATTTGGGTGCAAATCTTGCTACTACAAGCTGTCACCGTATGCTATGGATGGGTCTTGTATAAGGAAGTGCATCTTGCTGCACCACTCATACTTCAATTTATTGGTAATTATTGATAATCAACAAGCATAGTATGGCTGCGTTACTAATATCTATCGTATAGCTGGATATGCCATTACTTGTGGTGTCACCGTATACCAAACGTTAAGCGTTGATCTTTATCCCGGCAAAGGCGCTACCATTGGAGCCACCAACAACATCGTTCGCAGTCTTTTAGGGTACGTTTTTTGAAAGAAGGAAAGGGATGAAAGATAGCTGATGGGTGCATGTGTTTATTATAGTGCTGCAGGTACGGCTTGTGTTGAGCCTGGTATTGAAGGCATTGGCATTGGATGGATGTTTACGGTCTTGGGATTGATTCTATTTGTCTCATCCGGATTGGTGCCTATTATGATTGCTCTTGGTCCCAAATGGTGGCGTCGTAGGTGTGAAAGAAGAGAAGCAAAGGAGCAACAAAAGAAATAGACATGATGCGATGATCATCATCATACCAACAACTCACAAGAACGCACCCATATCTAATTCAACATTCTTTCATTAATACCATCTTCAACGATGCGTACTTTTTAAATGTGCAAAAAGTTCTTATACGCCATATACATATATAATAAACATATGCTTATCAAATACTAAGATTCATAGGGGAAGTGGGCTTTTGACATGCTTGTTAAAGTCACGTGATCATCATCTTATTTTATGTGGATGCGTTCAAGATTGATTTATTCAGTAGTAGAAATGATCCATACTTCTCCTTGAATGGATGATTTAGTGTGCAGCGTCAAAGTGGGTCTACGATGGGGGCAGGTTGTCAAGTCTACCTGCAGCGACATCATTTCCTCGTTTGTGTAGCTGGGATTTCTCTCTCTCGCCTTGTTTTCCTCCTCCTCCAACACACACACACGTCCCCGCATATGACACAAGTCTTTCCTTTGATTCAACGCGACCTATCATTTACCCCGTACAGCATTCAATGGGTTCCAAGTTCAGCTCGATTGTGTGCGGTGGGAGCAACGACGCGTGGTGCAGGCATCATATCAGTATACCGAGTCAACGGCAAACGATTAGAGATCGCCAATGAGGTAGTATCCCAATGTCGACAACCACCACCCCATCACAAACAGCTGACGTTGTGTATCCATTAGACCGAGACGCCTATGCCTTTAAGGTGTTGTTCATTTGGAGCTGCTGATAAAACGACTCGACACGTGGCGACAGGCGACTTTGATGGAAGATTGCAGTTATGGCAAGTGTGGGATCTTTCTGGAGGATTCTTTCGTCTTTGTAAGCTAACCTACATGGTTGTAGGGATACAAATCGACTCGAGATACCCACATCCAGTGTAAATGCACATGATACCATCATCAACATGGTAGATGGATCAATGCCGGAATTGGCTACCGCAAGTCGAGATGGTAAGTTGCCCCCCCTGCAAAGGATATATCCATCGTGGCCGTTCAACTCATTTATTGACTCATATCAGGATGCGTCAAGGTATGGGATACAAGGCAATTGGATAAGGCTGTTTTCAATGTACGGCATACCGAGCAACAAGATGCATGGTCAGTGGCATTCGGTAAGGATAAAGCATAGCGTGTTGGGCACAACTTCTTGGTAAACTCAAAGAAATCCACCATTAGGAGGATCGACCCATGACAATCGATTGATTGCAGCAGGATACGAGAATGGAGACCTGGAGTTGTTTGATCTTGCAGCATCACGTTACTTATGGAAGACCAATGTTGGAGCAGGGGTAAGTGTGGATGTTCTCAAGGTAATAAGGATTGAGCTCTGACACGCAAGGATAGATTTGCTCCATTGACTTTAATCAAGACAAGCTGGTGCTTAGTACATTATCAGGATTGGCTATTGTGAATTTGACCGAGAATGGGGCTATTGAACAACTACAGGTAGAGCTCATGAATGTCGTATGGATAAATGGGATGCTGACAACATTTTGTTTTAGTCGTCGAGTGATACGACCATGTGGGCAGCTCATCATGTACCTCAAGATCCTCGCTACTTTGGTGTTGTGGGTGGTGATGGTGTATTCCGACTTTGGGACCATGATGGATCCAGGCAGCAACCTGTGGCGGCATTATCTCTTAGCAAGCATCCCATCATCGCCTGTGATTGGAATCGTGATAAGCAAGGGCTCGTTGCATGTGCCTCCTTTGATCAAACCCTTCGGATAGCCCAAGTCGTCTTTTAATGGGTGCATTGTACATACATATATCGTGATCAAGGACAATACATGCGTTTGGATTGAACCAACTTTGGATGGATGGAGGGATGGAAGGAAAGGGGTAGGGGCTTGGACTTGGCAGCAAGTAATGTAGCACGGATTCAAGGTTTGAGTTGCACAATGCTGTTTTTTTCTTTCTCTCTCCTCTGGATTTGATTGTTTCGTCTCTTTCTTTCTCTTTTCTTTTCCACCTGCTCATGTGGTTTTCCTTGTTCAACTGGAAACTTTCACCGCCTGACAACTCGTATGATGCCCTTTTGCAGCATCCAGATTTCAAACTCGTTCATGTCGCTGATGATGAGAAACGTTCGATGACAGTCATATACCCATCCAAAGATAAACACCATCTCAACCGACTCGCAACAAAAGAATGTCAATTTTATGCATTGTCACATTTATGGGGAGCCGATGCACATCAACATCCATGGCATGAGATTGGGACCTATATCCATGATCGAGAAGGTCGACCCATTGATCCTATACCGATGCGACCTGAGAAGCGTGAAACGTTGCTTGCATTATTGGAGTCAAAGCCTGATAGTTATTGGTGGATTGATGTTGTTTGTACAAGGGCTGACATGCCGCTGGTGATTATGGGGAGCATTTATCGATATTGCGTCTGCTGTTATGCTATGGTGGATTGTTTGCCTGCTGCCATGGAAACCATTTCTGGAGAAAAGCTTGTGCGGATGTGCCGAGATTTCCATTACCAGGATCCATGTTGTCGGTTAACGATAAAGTGGTCCAAGCATGTACAAGCACTTGACGAATTTCTCGATTGTCAGTGGTGGCAACGTGTGTGGACATGGCAAGAGATGGCACTTCAAAAGGGCGTAATCATGATATCGGAGCGGAGTGGTAAACGGTGGATGGATACTTGCATTGAAGCCGTTCAGCTGGTTCATTTGTACAAGATGCGCGCTTACTATTATCGTCGTACACACCAAGATGTTGAATTGGAGGCACCCGGTATGCCACTTGTGGATACACAGCTGATGGAATCATCGCTGAATAAGATATCCAGACAATGCGCTGAGCTCTTTCGACCAAGAAACTTTGCCGATCTTACCGTGGATGGATACGCATTGTCATCACCTTATGCATTCTTCAAGCTCATTGAAAGCCTTGGCAACTCACCACGAACGTGCATGGACCCTGTGGATTACGTTTATGGAGTATTGGGGTTTCTACTATGGGACATTCCCAGAATGAAACATCCTGATGAAGTATGGCAAGCGTTTCTCTCTCAGCTTGAAGACTATATTACACGCTCCCTGGAGGAATCACATTATATGGGAGGAGGGATCGTATCAATTGAGATATCACAAAAAGCAAGGACGTTTGATTTGGCCATGGCTAGAAACATGAAGGATGTATATAAAGGTTTATTACAAGTGAGAGCCAAAGATGGATACTTGTTTATAATATAGAATGTAGCATCATGGATACAATGAAATGACATGAAATGGGGATGGATTGAATGCTGCATGATCAGGTAACACACCCAAATGGCAATGTTTCACACCGACACAAATGCTAATGCTGCGGTTTCCTTCTCTCTCTTTTTCCTCTTCTCTCTTTTCTTGGTTACTATGGAAGCACAGCTGCAGCCTCTAATTAAGCAAATCACGGAGACTGGTGAATGGTCGCTCGATCGAGACATGCTCAAGGTTTGTAAACGACATTATAGGTCTGCCTACCTGTTGCCAATCGACTGACATGGACAACGTTTATTACTGCATGTAGAAAATCAAGAGCATTTGCAAGCGAGGGGATGCCAATGTGGAAACGGCGTTTACGATATGGTTCGCACAACTCAAAACAGAACATGCACAGGTAAAGCGTACGTGTATACATGCGGGTTGACCTATTGATTGATGGGTGGTGGCTATGATGATAGATTCGATATTCATGCGTGCAATTAGCCGAAGAACTATTTCAGCGTTCACATCGATTTCGAGAGTTGCTGGCCGACGAGTTTCCTGGATTTTTGTCATTGACCATCGGCATCCAGAAACGAACATTACCACCACCACCGAATGTAGCTGCCAAGCTCAAACAATACGCTCTTGCACTCGTGAAAGCATGGCATGAGAAATACGCTGCTTTGTATCGACCCCTTGGAATCGGATATGATTACTTGCTTCATCAAGGATTCTTGGCTCAAGGTACATCCTCATTAGCCTCCATTCATGCCAGCCATGATAATCAGGTAAGGATGGGATCCTATTATCAGACGATCGATTCGATGCTCATCATCATCATCATCATCATCCTTTTCCCCAAAGGCACAAATGAGAGCCATCTATCAACGACGCATGACCCAAATCAAACGAGAAATGGAGGAGCACTTTGATCTGATGAAGGAGAATCTCAATTCAATGGAAGGTGTATTCGATATCTTGGTTCCACGCAATGAAGGCGATTCGATCGATTTCGATGCATTGATGAAGGCCGATTATGAAAGCAGTGGCACGGCAGCTGATACTGGAGAAAAATACAGAGAGGTACGTACGGGATGGTGGATGAAAAAGCAAACAGGGAGCTGATGATACACTAGGATATCCTATCACATGGTCTAGCATCCAATCGATACAAGATCGAGATTGACTTGTCAGAGAATCCTTTGGGAGATGTGCACGAATCGGAAGAGAACAAGGTGCTTTACGAGCAATTGCGAGAAAGTCATCGGCTGCTTATCAATAAACATTTGCCCATGTTGAATGTTTGGATCAAAAGTCTTGGACGCATGGATCATCCGGTAAGGAACTATAGGAATGAGTGATGGATACAGGGAGACTCATTCTGTATCTTTTGATAGGATCGTGACAAGTTGTTGAAGCAGCTGCTAAGTTTGAAAACCAAGATCACTGAAGACACACTTCGCAAATCAGACTTGTTGGGGATTGAACAACAGCAACAACAGCAGGATGAAGATGAGGATGAGGATTATTTAGAGGAGCTTTTCGAGGATGTACCGCTGGACGGATCATCAAATCAGTCATCAGAAGCAGCATCAGATAGGAGGAATGGTGGATTATCAACCAAGCTGCCACCAGCTCAACGCATCTTTCCTTTGGCATATGAACCAGGATTGGAAGAGGATGTCACTTACAACAGAGCAGCCGTGTTTCCACAACTACCTTCAGAATCAGAAAGGTGACACAAAAAAAAGGATGAAGACGAGGTCTTAGATAGGCGGTAATGACCTTTTTTGGGGTAGGGCGAGCAATGATCAAGGACAAGATGATGGATCAAAAGGAAAAGGCAAAGCTCGAGCAACCGCTACCTCAAGAGAAGGTTAGTAGCATTCATTCCTTTTAACGATGATTGACGCTCACGTATTCTGTTTTTCTCAGAGCTACTCAAGAAGGCGCCCGTGGTTGAGGTAGGATAATGATGGGCATTACACATTGGCGTAATTGCTAACAACATGCATTTTTTATTTTAGTGGTAAATATTGGATCATGGATTGTGCGATACGACCACTATGGCATCCTCACACTCATGATGCTTTTTGATAGGGGCGATGATCTGTATTACTGGGACAAGTCGAATGTTCAATTCAATAGCAGTGGAATAGGCAAGTACTACGAGTAGGGTATGCTCAAGAATACACATGTGCTGATGCATGGTATCTATTTCAGAACGACAACATCGGTTTATGGGAACCGGAGAAGGCACGCATGAGATGCCGGAGAAGCTGTTGGATCAATTAACGAAGCGAGCAACCTATTACAAGGACAAGATGCCAAAAGAAGTACCGGTAAGTGAGACATACTCTATATCTTAACTTTTACATTATGCTCATTTTAATTGGTAGGCATGTCGTGCTCCTTTACGGAATGGCAAATTGTGTCCTAGACGTGATCTTGTGACGTGTCCTTTCCATGGCAAGATCATCCCACGTGACGAGATAGGGCGGCCCATTCGTGAAGAAGATCAACTTGAGCAGCAATCAAACACCAGCAAACAATTATGGGAGGATATTGAGGGAGATGTGATGCGACAACAAGGAAAAGAGCAAATTGATACCAAGCGCAAGAAAAGGAAGAAACAGCAAAACGACACCAATTTGATTGATATTCGACAAAAGAAGGAAAACAGCTATACCCGATTACAGAAAAAGCTTGATACGCCAGGCGTACGGCGGATGGTAGAGGAAGCTGAGGATTATGAGCGTAGTATCAAATCGAGAAATAGAAATGCCAACATATGGTAGATCATGTACAGATATTAAAGGTTTTACATATCACCCGACTATATCCCTCGTATCCATACACATTCGATGTATCGCTTTCCCTCCCGACAAAATCGCTGGCAATCATATATACAAAGATCAGCGTACGTGGGCAACAAAGGTTAGAGGATGTTGGTGGCAATGGCTGGCTGTGTTTGTACAACCGAAGGGGGTTGGCTACTGACGATCGCATTGTACGCATGATGCTAGCCGAAGTTTATTACAAAGAAGCTATCTGACAATGACTTGTACCCAATTTACCCACTGCATTCAAGCCATCACGATACTATTATTCCTTTATGATACTGACAATGATACCATGGAAATAAGAATCTTATTACGTAATAAAGCGATCTGCATTCAATATATGTACATTCGTAGAAGGATAATGTTGAGAATAGGCAAAGATATAAGAATAAGGGTTGGACAGCAAACAGTGGCACCGAGTTTAGACACGAAGGACAATCTTTCCCACCGTTCGATGAGACTCAATTTTCAAATGTGCTTTGGCGCCATCCTTAAGGTCGAATACTTGATCCTCTCGAAGGACACTCTTGATAGAACCATTGGTCAATAATGGATGTACCTCTTTAGCAAACCGATCCCATGGCACATGCACCGCTGCCATACGATATGGACGACTTCCAGCAATCATGCGTCCCATCACAGTGAATGCTACCTTGGCGATATCCAGGACACCAATTTTCTCCGATCCAAGATGTGATTGAGGACCAACGGCAGTAGAGTATACGGATCCCTTTTTCAGCAATCCCACAAAACGATTGTAGTAATCGTCACCACCAATGCAATCAAAGATCAAATCATAGGTATTCAACTCCTTCTTCAACTCATCCATGTCTTGTTGCAAGTTGTAGGCGACCACACGATCTGCACCCAAGCTGGATACCAATTCAGCGTTCTTGTCACTGCAAATGGCCACCACTTTTGCACCAATAGCCTTGCCAATTTGAACAGCATACGTGCCAACACCACCAGAAGCACCAATGATGAGGATTTTCTCTTCGCCACTGCTAGGCAGGTTTCCTAGAACAACAATGCCTTGGAAAGCCGTGATGCCTTTAACAATCCAATGAGTTCTTTATATCCATTTTCCCTAAAAAAGATCACTCACTGGCAACACCAACAGCAGCGGCTTCTTCGAATGACATGTTGCTTGGTTTCCTCATGATTGCTCCTTTGCCAAGGGTGGCAACAAGCTATGTACAAATGTTTCAACATCGTATCCCAAGCCATTGTCTTAGTAACATACTTACGTATTCAGCATATGAACCATATTCCATGCCAACCGGCATTTCCAAGGAACCATAGACCTCGTCACCAACCTCAAAATCCTTTACGGCTGAGCCCTTGGCGACCACGATACCCGAGTAATCACCTCCAATGATTGCTGGTGGAGACTTGAACAACGCGTTGAAGAGCATGTTGGATACGTTGCCTGAACGATACTTGGTTTCTGCAGGGTTGACTCCAGCAGCTTTGACCTTGACCAGAATGTCAGTGGGGTTACGAATGGAAGGGGTCTTGATCTCAACGTACTTTAGCGATTCCTCTGCTGGTCCATAATGAGTCACTTGCAAGGCATGCATTGTTGGTGGTGGGATCGTTGACGAATCGGTCATGGTAGAGTGTGTGTGTTTCTGGAAGAAGAATGGCGACCACCTTTATGCACGACAAATCAGGTCACACAAGTGAGTGCGTGTTCTTTCTTTCTTTGTACCTTTCAATCAAAGCGGCGCCTCGTAGTGACACAGTTTTTTATGTCGCGTATCCCGATCCATAGCAAGGACCACGTGATGCGTATAGACAAAGATGAAAAGTTCTCTTTTGGATGATCCCACATCCACTTGCAAAGTGCATTTACGGCTATATTCGATATTGCAATCCAAAGCTTGATCACGTAAAGAATATAGAAAAAAGAGGCTGATGGATGATGATGTTGACATGGCGAGATGAATAAAAAGAGTGTCTTTTCTTCCTAATAAATGAATATCAACCGCTTGGATTTGAATGACTCATAGCAACCGCTTACCTTATAATTTGGGAACTGCACTAGCTCTACACGTGTCATATAATGCAATGATCCTTTTGCCCCAAAGCCATCATCAGTGCTCATGCCTGCTAATGAAGTATAAATATTCATGGATCGCATTTTACAGGAGCGGATGCTGGTAAGTAAACAAAGTTGAACGAGTCCCATATGTATTTAGATGGGTACATCACGTGGCTGCTTGGCTCTTGCTTTATTGAAAGAAGGTTGGAGTGTGGATCATGCGCACATAACACGAAGGAAAAATCGATAGGGTGGGCAATGTCAAATTAGGTGCTCTCTTTCACGTCTACTTGTCTTCCGTTTCACAACTGCATTTCCCTCAACTTGACTCTCCCAATTCCTTGCTCGCCACAATCCTCTTCCACCATGACCCGCATGAACGCCACCACGACGACGCATCGGTCACGAATTACGTATCGAGCAACTGCATTCCTTGGCCCAACCTAATTGACAACTGACATGGCTGGTTGAGGAGATCATGAACCATATTTTCTTGGCAACGATATTCTAGTTTGGATACTGCGACTTTTATTCAATCATTCTGAGAGTGGACACCAAGGTAAAAAGAGAGATGGGTGATATGCTTGCGAAAGGGGGCTGATGGTTGACACGTGGATCAGGTTGCCAGGCAGCGCGACACAATGATACCCCATTTGGACGATGCTATGCATTATGAAGAGACGCTGGATCACACATGACGACTATGGCATTGGATGGTAGTCTGATCGGCAATATTATGTACGATGGCGAATGAGAAACGTGATTCAACAACCATATCGACATTGCAGGCACGTACAGCCATGGTATATATGTCGATACCCCAGAGCAGCAGAAGCAGAGATGAGTCGTATCGACAAGACCATGGATTGGATGATCAGCTTATCAAGAGTGGGCATCAAGGGTAGCATGATGGGATGAAATTCAAAATTGAATCCGCTGAAGCAATCGGCAGCAACGATGACACCACAAACAACGATCAACCAAAGCAACAAAGACTTTGCACTCTTATCAAGCTTCATTGTCATCCAAGTCATCAGCTGCTGGCGATCATGAAACATTCCTCACCCGTGTCTTACATACAACAAACCAAGGGTTACAGTGCGTTGAATTCCCAAGGATTGTCAACGGCTTTTACGACCATGTTTCAAATGCTCACGAACACTACTATGGCATTGGACGAGGAAAGTTTCGCTGGATGATGCAAATGGCACGCTATGTTTACGAGATGCCGCATTACAATGAGCAACAACAACGACCCGATATTGAGTGACTCAGTATATACATAGCACAATGACAACTCTTTGGAAATACATTTATCGCAATACAATACTTTCTTTTTCTTCAATGAACCTGTGTTGTTGTGGGATGCAATATGGTTATCTTTGCAGTGTAGGCAAGTGATGGGAAACACGTGGTAGCTTTTAAGGTGATTATCATTGTTTGGCTGCGCAACAAAATGGTTGAGTGAAAGAGGAGATCGGTAGACAATCACCTTGAGGAAAATTACGCTTTATGTCACGTGAGTTAAATTACTATACACCATACCAGTAATAAAAATTAGGGTCCAACAGCTTTTTCATACGTCGTGCCTAGCGCTTTCCTTCGCACATTTAAACTCTGGAGTGCCAGCTTCGCCTTTCAAAGTTTGGCATGCGAGATCCTTTGTCATACATTGTTTGTATCCCCACACAAAAGTGATTGCGGTATGGTCATTCAATCTTTTACTTGTTTCAACTAAGCCATAACATGGTCTATTGTTGCTGCTGTTTTTAAGGAGGGTTGTTGATGCGAGATCACGTGGTGTCAGCCCATAGATGGGTATGTTTTGTTTTATCCATCACCTTTTTGATCGGCATCTTGGACGTAACACAAACGTTAGTCCACCAGAAATAAAAGCCCAGCAAGTCCCTTGCTGTTGGTACACCTTTTCTTTTCCGCTTTTCGAACATGACATGCCACACTAACGAGTACAGCGACCCCAACAAAGTAAGTAGGTGCATGAAACATCAATACACTAAGAATGATATTCATTGTCTTTTTCTTTTAGATATCTATAAGCTTAGGGGATGACAAAGGCTACCACTACAAACGTTTTTTCGAACAAGGCCTTAATGCACTTTTGGCCGACCCACACTTTTTGCTCCTATACGTACCTGAAAATGGAGTCAAAATGCAAATTATACGACCAAGCAGCAACCCACACCATCTTGAGCGCATAATGAAAATGATGAATGAAGAAACGAGAGACATCCCATCCTTTTATTATGCGTTGTCACACCTTTGGGGGATCTCAGAAAGCAACCGACACCTATGGATCGATATTGGCAATTACGTGGATGATGAAAATGGACAACCTGTCGATCCAGTTTCAATGCGACCCGAAAAACGTGATCCGTTACTTGCATTACTCAAAGACCACCCTGGCAGTTATTGGTGGATTGATGTCTTGTGTGCACGTACCGATACTCCCTTGGATATTATGGGCGATATTTATTCTTGTTGCTATGAATGCATTGTCATGATCGATTGCGAACCTGATCTAATACCACAACTTTACGCCATGATGGATGCGGATGAAGCATTTCCTAACTATTGTTGGGTGCTTGAAAATCGAAATCTAGACGACCTTTTGCCTTACAAACAGCTTTACGACGACAAATATCCTCAGATGATTGATCTCTTATACGCACTCATGCAAAGTCAATGGTGGCAACGTGTATGGACCTGGCAAGAGATGGCTCTACCTGTAGGAGGCGTACGTCTTATGGCGGAAACAGGCACGCATCGATCCCTAAACAACACAATCACGGTGGATGACCTAGGTCGCTTTTACAATGCGGTGTTTGTTATAAATGAATACGAATACAATCGTCAGCTACAAGAGTCAAAAGGTATGCCCTAGATGAAAATGCTTTATCGATTCGCTATGAAGGCTGCTAACTAGTTTCATAGAAAGTACTGAATGGCTGAATGTGAGAACGGTATTGCATTGGCTTTTCGACATCTTCCGCGCACGAAGATCCAATAACCAGCGTATCAAAAACAAAAAGAATGCACGGATATTTTACTTTTTAATTTGCTCATTGGGTAAGTCCACCAGACGATGCATGGATCCTGTGGATTATGTCTATGGTGTGCTCGGCATGTTTCATTTCAAAATCCCAAGGATGACCGATCCGAATACGGTTTGGCAGCTCTTCCTCGCTGAGCTTGATAATTACATGATGGATTTTAAGGATAAAAAGTTTTCATGGGGAAGAATTACTGGAATCAGTGATAATGCATACCAAATTGATGTATTGAAAGCTAAAAACATGGCTGATTTATACAATGATTTGCTCGTAGTCGTAGAGGATGGCGATCAATAAAGGTTGATATGACTCTCAGAGCATAAAATGTGATCTTTGTTGTTGACGTTGGCATGGAGACGTGTATAACACCCAGTTGGTGATCAACAATAAAATGATTTGGTGCAATGTCACCTACCATCTCATGGGTTATCCTTGCCCACACTCCTTCAATCCCTTTCACTCACTCACTCATCACTTTTGAATACACGTGTCCTCTTTAAGTAATACACAGCTTTGTTTTGCTCATAATGGTATCATTTTCTATGTCAACGAGTTGTAAGGGATTGTAGAGAGTGTGCGATGAGACTAGTAGTGTGCGTAATATGCTGTAATGTGTGGATGAAGTTGTTGTTGTCAATTAATGCTTGCGGTGGTTTTAAATATCGGTCGTTGACTTTTCTTTGGGTGATGCAGGTGTTGATTGTGTTGTACTCGCTGCACGTCCATAAGCGCTCGATTCTTTCAAAAGGAAGGAGATCCAAGCGTCGGTGAATGACTATGAGAAAAAAAACAGGGACTTAGTTGATAGGCTCATAAACACACCCCATGAAGATAACATACCTCGCCAGTTGCTTGACTTTGTTGTTGCTGTTGTTGAGGACTCGCCCATCCAGGCGTCGATGAAGAATTAGATGAGGGTGACGATCGTAAATTCTTGGGACGTAGCAAACCAACTTGTTCCTTTTGTTCCTCTGACATTTGAAGCACACTCGCAATGATAGTCAAGATCTCAAATCGCTTACGATCACCCCGTGGCGCCATCAAAAAGCCAATGATAAGATTGCTGATAAGTTGTCTAATCAAAACAATGTGCATTAGCATCATCACCATCACATGTCATCTTATCATAACGTACCTATCCACATTGCTATCACTCGTTTCCTCCTTGAGGCGTCTCATGGCTTCAATAAGATGTTCATTGAGAATAATGGCTAAGGAAGAGGACCCCAGTTAGCAAGCTGATGTTTCTTTTATAATCTTGACGACTTACCTTCATGTCGTAGCTTTCCTATCAACAAATTCTTCTCCTTGATCTCCTGCTCGTATTGTTGTGTTTTTGCCACATCTTGTTGGTATTGATCAAGAGCGCTCTATAGAGATCCTGGTGAGCTTCATGTCGTTACTCAAAAGATTCACATTGTTACCTCAGCGACCCGCGCTCGCTCTTGATACTCGGTCAATGACTTTTTGGCAACTTCCAATTGGCGTTCAATATGCTCCACTGCCGCCCTTACTTCAGCATCCTTGGCTATAACATATCACCATGTCAGCTTAATTTTCATATCACCCTTTCAACCCAACACTCAACTGGTCTGAAATTCTTCAAGCACTGTTTGCAGGTTGGCCAAGCTGGCACGTTCCAATTCATGCTCTTGTTTTTCTTTTTGTTGCTGATGTTGAAGTTCCTCAAATGATTCTGTAAGTTGCTGGCAACGTGTCTCGAGTTGATTACGCTGAGCATCGGTTTGCATAGCATGCGCTTCCCATTCTTCTCGTTCCTGTTGTACTTGTTCCATATGTGCTTGCAATTCAGCAACCATACGCTCTTTGGCAGCCAAGTCACGACCCATCTCTTCCTCATGTCGTACGCGATCAGCACGTGTTTGCGTCAATTCTCTTTCTGCTGTTTCCAGTCGAGCTGTCAAATCGCTCACTTGTTGTCGTAGCTGCTTATCGGCTTCCAAACGGGGCGCCAACGTCTCCTTGATATGAGCCAATTTACCCAACAACGATTGATGCTCCTGTTGTAATTGAGTCACTCGCTCCTCACTCTCACGATGCTGCTTTTCCACATGTTGCAACTTGGCCTCAAGCTCTTGTTTCTCATTCATCCATTGATCCTTGTCCTGTGATGCACCAAGTTGACTCTTTGTAAGTTGTCGTTGAAGATCTTTTAAAGATTGTTAATATTTCCATATCACTCCACATAGATGTGTTCTTACCATTGTGTGCTTGCTCCATCCTCTTTTTATCCTCCTTGATGCTATCCAGCTTGTCTGACCACTTTTGACGCACATTCTCAAACGCACTTCGAACTTGTAACGGCAGCTCATTGGGGAATACGCTGTCATCATCCTCTTCCAGCAGGCTCGTGAGACTTTTGGTGATGAGATCAACGTCGCACTGATCCTTATCCTTGGATGGTTCCTTTGACGATTGAGTCGACTGATTCGTAGCAGCAACAGCAGCAGCAGCAGCAGCCTCCTTCTTGGCATCTAAATGGGATAGGATGTATGTGTAAGGGTCATGTGCTATGGTTCCTAGAATGCAATCACCTACCTTCAAGCTGATCCGAAAGCGTCTTGACTTGGTTTTCTAGTGATTCGATCTTGGTCGTTGCTAAACAGGGTCCACGTTGGTTATGCTTAACTTGCTACAACACGTATCCAAGGGAAACAACCTACCCTTTTCCTCCTTTTCTTTCATGCGTGCCTTGACACTTTCTACTAGCTTGGTTGCCTCGGGAGCTGAAAGGGATTGTGGAGTGTCATCATCCAGTGACAAGGAGCCAATGGTCTTCAAGAGGTCGTTTACAGTGTTGTCATGCGTCTCTCGTTCCGAGTTGTGTTGAGCAATTTGTTGATTCAAGCGTGCGTTCTCTTGAGCAAGTGTCTTGAGATGGTTTCCAGCCTGAGTGAGTTTGGCATGCAGAGTGGCGACTTGGTCTTTCCATTGCTTCTCCTTTTGCAATGCTGCGTCTGATTCAAGTGAAGAACAAGAACGTTCGAGTGTGTTGGTGTCGCATGTACGTGTACGTGACAAGCATAGCGTCATTTACCATCAGCCATTGGAAAGAATACGTGTCAATGGAGGGGGGCGCGTGTATGTATGTCGGACGAAAAAGAAGAACGAAAGAATGGATTTAGGTGGGCCATTGCCACGACGTTAAGCATACAATTCTGTGTTACATATAGCTAGCTAGTAATTGTACTATTGTAATAGAATGAATTATGATAAATCTACTTGTAAAGACGATATTGTTCAATAAGCTCGGGGGATTCCTCCAACACAGCAAATTTGCCTTGCATCATGTGTGCTGTAATGTGGCAATGAAGGATCCAGAATCCAGGATTATCCTATGATCATCTTATTGTTAGCACATCCTTTTATCCTCTTAATGTCACATGTCTCGCTCTTTCTTACCGCATAAATACGTATTTTGGTCCATCCACATCCTCCTTCATCATTAGGCTTGTCGTCTGGATACACCATGGACACATCTCTGTATAATGGACTGGGGAAGTTGCGGGTATCGCCATCCACCTCATGATGATATTCACCCGATCCTGATGCAATTTGATAATGCGAATGACCATGCGTGTGCCAAGGATGAACCAAACACACGGGACCAGCCTTGACATTTTGAAGCACAATATCCACCACTTGGCCCATTTGGATAGGGAACGTGTCATGACTAGCCAAATAGCCATCCTCTTCAAGTAAACTATCATTGGTAGCCATGGCAAGTCGACCTTGCATCACTTCAGTCAATAGGGGCGCCTCTCGTGTCGGTGGCATACGTCCATTCATTAAATATCGGGTCTCCTTGGTAGGCTGTCGTCTAGGCCCCGCTCGTAATTTCAGTACTCGATCGGCTGGTGCATTCAATATCACTGACGTGTCCAATCCTTCCTTCTCGTCACCATGCTTTTCAGAATGAAGTGGTTCAATTTCAGGCCATAGCCAATCACGCTTGTCGTCCTTTGGAAATACAGGCAAATTCTTTGTGTACTTTACATTATCACGCTTGCCATGCTCCTTTTCTTTTCCTTCTTCTGGTGGAGGGGGTGGAGGAATAATAGGCTTGTAGATAGCGGGATGGCCACACTCTTCTTGATGAGAGCATGATGCATGCTTGTTGTATCGTAGATACGCAAATCCAGTCTCAGTGTACATTCCATTATTACGATGACGCCATCGATAGCTTGTTGCAATAGGCACCAGATCACCCTCCTTGCCATAATGGGTATGAATAAGCACCGAGACACGCTGTCCAGGACCAATTTCAAGCCATTCAGTGTCATAGGGCTTTGTCATTTGACCATCGACTTCAATGATTGTCATTTTATGACCGGCAATTCCCAATCCAAGTGTGCGGAAAGTTTGTCCACCAATGATACGTAATCGATATGTCTTTCCAGGCTCCACATCCAATACTGAATAGCCAGGACATTCCTCTGGTAACTCTTGTCGTGCAGCAAGTGATGGTTTTCCTCCCCAATTACCACGTTCACCACCACCACCACCACGCTCATCACCATCCTTTTTATCACCATCGCCTTTGTCGCCATCACCACCACCACCCCAGCTCTTACCACCACCATCACTTGACTTGTCCATGCCATATAAGCTTGGGTGAATAGTGCGGCCATTGATGAGAATGCTGTCAGAGCCCTTGTCAAACACAAATCGAGATGTCATGTAATATTCCTCACGTGAGAGGAAGTCTTCGTGCCACCATTCGGAAATCTGCAATGTGCGTTCGCCATCATACTCGCATGCTCCTTCACTTAATTTCTTGTTGTTGTGCTCGGATGGCCAAGAATCAATCGAATCATGTACAATAAAGGCCCCTTGTACGGTATCATCTTGCAATCCCAAATGAGCATGGTAAAAGTAGGTACCGCTTTGGCCGGTCACTCGAAAGCGATGTGTGAATGATTCACCAGGTGGAATGGCATGTTGTGTCACAAAAGGTACGCCATCGGATTCCACCGTGCCATATTGCCGGATGCCATGGAAATGGATAGTGGTTGATACGTTGAATTGATCCACGGAATTATACACCGTAACCTCGACATCATCACCCTTGACAACACGCAATGTGGGTCCTGGGAATTGATCATTGATAAGCAATGCTGGGAATAGCTCGCGGTTGCAATCAGGGTTGATAACAGCCGATGTAATGTTGAGCTCGAAACGTCGTACACCACCATCACCATGGCTCACTACAGGTGGTACAAGTAATGCTGCAAGTAAGGCAACTGACACAGCTGCCCATACAAAAAGCTTCATGGGTATGAGAGAAAAACAAAAAGATGGATTAGAATGTAAAGGATGAAAAAAAAAAAGCATGCACATATTTTACCAAGATCAAGATTTGAATGAGCAGACAATACACACGCACCCGTCAATTTTAATCACACCTTGAAACGACAACGATTTTTGCCCCCTTTGAAAACATCGCACGCTCTGTTTAAAATACTTGTCTCTTTCATGCCACGTACGTACGTAGTCAATGCTTCTTACCAATATGCAAACACTGGGCATCTCATATCGTTGATGACTTTTTCCAAGCTCATGGACACAGATACAAATAAAAGAAATCGTTCCTGACGAGCAATCAGTAACACGGTTAAATTGATATTTCTCCCTTTTCATGCTCTGATGCTCATCTCCTTTTTCTTTTCTATCGTCCCCGGTAAATACGAAGTGTCCATAGCTACGCAATTTGGTTATTGGTATCCATAGTAGTGATGCATGCATGTATAACGCATATACGCGAACCGTAATATTTCCGGGGAATGAGGCATATGAATGAAACGCAGCGGTCTTGGAAATCTTTGACGAAGCCGTTACAAGAAAAGGCTACAGCGTCAGTAAAAGGGTATATGTAAAGGGACCAAGGAGATAGGAAGAGGGATACAAATGATCGACGTTGCAGGAACAATGGTACACACAGCTATACATTGTTTGTATGTAGGCCCAACATCACGGCTTGTAGACCCTTGTCCACGTGTAGCATATACAGTAGCACTCGTATGCTGTGCAATGAGGCATACGTATCATCCATCAACCAAGTAAAGTTCAAACACCATACCATGCCTGGTCTCATTGAAGACTAGCAAAGTTAAAAGCTTGTACAAATAGCACTAATCAGACCCAGGGATACCTCGTTGACAGGCTCTCATATATCGCGTGCCGAGTAAGAGCATAATACAACGCGAGATGACTTCATTGCAAACCCTGCCAATCAATGCACACATCCACAAAAACAACTCCAATCACTATATTTGGCTTGCACACAAAAGACAATGTATACCATTCTGTACAAAACAATATCGGACAACCCACTATACTACGCTTATGAGAAGAAAGGGGGTTGCATCTGTGGTGGCCAAAAGAAAGATCCGCCCCTAGAAAAGGAAATGCAATCAATAAGGGAAGAACAAATAAAAAGAACTCGAACAAAGAATACTTACATGCCACCTTCATTTCCACCATCACGTTCATTTCCACCATCAGGTCTACCTGAAGAGCGTCCTATCGTATAGACTTGTCAATAGCTAGAATCTTGGTTTATCCATCCCAATGATTTTACCTCCTTGTCGACCTGCTGGTCGCATCATGTTTCGATTGCCACCCATCACTGCTGGACTTGATCCTGCTGCTGCCGGTGAACTCATAGCTGCTGCTGCTGCTGCGGCCATGGCTGGATTGGGTGCACCTGGCATCCCTGGCATCCCTGGCATCCCCATCATATTCGGCATACCCATTGGCATTCCACCATTGTTGCTATCCATCATCCCAGGTGGCATCATCATTCCCATTGGCATAAACTCGCTCATATCCATATCACCCATCATCTAAAAAGTATATAAGTACACGTTTTCACCTCTTGGACAAAAAAAGTCATTTTACCTTTCGACTCTCTCGAATCATCTTTTGTTGTGCGCAATAAGCTCGCCATGTGACCTCATTGAAACCATAATTGAAATAATCGGTAATATCAGCGCCTAACAACCATGATGATCCATTAGCGATGCAACCTTTCTCTCTTTTACCGGCATGTCATACATGATACGTACCAGGTTTCCGCCATGGCTTATCATCCAATCCATCCAAATCCACTTCAGTAATCGGGACACCATTGTATTCACCAACAGCTTCCAAATTGATAGCACTTGTGCCGACTGAGCCTTTAGCAGCTGCTTGTGCTGATGCTGATGCTGCATTACCACCCGAAGCTGAAGATGTGTTGGGAGTGCCAGAGCCATTGGCATTGCCGGGTATTTTGTTTTGCTGGCCAGGCTTAATGTTGACAAGCGAGCCCTTTTCTTCATTTGGTGCACCCGTCTCTTTGCTATTAACACACACCATTAGCTGAGAAAAAGCGAGCTATACATGTGCAATCACGTTACCTTGGTTGTGCTGTGCTATCCTCTTCAGGTTCCAGAATGATTTCCAAATCCTAAGAGTCAAAGAGTCAATGAACAGGCTCCTCCTCATCGTGTGCGTGTACTTACATCATCACTATCCTCTTCCTCCTGCTCTTCTTCTTCTTCCATTGGCCGTGCTTGTTCGTTGCTTCCTGGTTGACTTTCATCCATCTCCATATCTTGCCTGCTTCATAGACACACACAAGTCGTCAGCATGATTTCATATAAAAAAAAGTCGCAGCAACAGTATACCTTGTGCCCACTTCTTGTGTTCTGAATGAGGAAAAGTTGTTCAATAAAACGAATACAGATCGGTTGTTGCATGACTTACTCGTTGGCTGTGCTTCCTCGATATAGTTGATAAAGATCATCGTCTTCTGTTGCATTCGACTCTGTTCAAAGGTCTCAATCAGTACGAGATCGGTCGTAAAGAAAGTGCTTAAAGTACCCTTCATTGTGCTGTCGTTTTGTTGTTCAACACCCTTTGTATTTTCTGGAGCGCCATATAAGAACTCATCGACGTCGTCGTCGTCTTCCATGTTGCGATGTCGACTCATTGTGGGGGAGTTGGAGTAGTTGTGTGGAGTAAAAGATAAAGAGAGACAGAGAGGGAGATGCACACCCACCCAGATTTTCTGCTCCCGATTTGGTCATCCACTCTGTCGCCGTGGATACGGCCGATTTATGCCAATCATGTGTAACCATTATGTACATGTTCCTTAAAACGATTATCCTCATTCAATCTACCATTCTAAATATGATGATGGGTATGTGCGCTTGATGAAGGGATATTAACAACCTGCTTCCTATATAAACTCTCACCCACTTTCTTAACCATCATACACTCTTTGATCATTGTTGACACCTACATTCATAATGAGGAACACTTTTGTAAGTCATCCATGTACTCGTATTTATGACGACCTCGTTATCCTACTATACTCTCATCATGGATCTTTATGGCGTGTGCTATTTCCTACAAGATCTAACCCCCCCCCAAGAAGGGAAGTGGGTGATACAATCGAACACAGCTTTTGTTCAAAACACTTTGATCCTTTCTCTACTGCTCTTTTCCCCTTTATCACAGCACTAAGTACTACACACAACAAAATCCAGCTCGGGAAGAACGAAGGCCTTATGGAGTCTTACAAATGGTTGGCCGCTCCGATGTCGTATCCATTAGAGTGACCCTTTTATCCAACATCATCATTCACAAGATATAGATTGAGAGGTACAACGAGTTGCCTCAATGGGGAAGATACATCGAATTGAAAAACTCCTAGCGTTTGGTTATGTATTTTGCAAAGATGGATGGATGCGCGTGAAGTGGTACTTAATGCATGACGTGTCCAATTGTGCAGTTGGATGCTGCTGATGATGTTACATGATGGTTGACAGGTTTCACAAAAAATGATGATCGTAGCTGCCATGGAATAGCGTCAAGTACGATAATTGCATGCACCACCCGTTCACGATGATGGCATCAAGCATAATGGTCAAGTTGACAATCGATGCGTAAGAACAAAGGCTCTCTTTCCACGCGTTGTATATACCTAATTCCTTCTTCCATCCCGTGCATGAAACCAATACCCATATCCATATCCATATCCATAAGACGTCGTATGTATTGAAGCAAGTTGCTATACGTAAATAAAGCTGCTTCTATACAATGGCTATCTGCTGTCCATGCAAAAAGGCTGTTGCAAGTAATAGAGTAAAGATCTTGCTATTTGCAACTGCTGTAATGAGCACTGTTACGCTTGGTTGTGGCAAGAGATGTGTTGTAGTAGAGTGATAAGAAGGTTGTGTGCACTGCCATTCAGTCAAAGATAACCGGATCAAGAGCGTTGTAGGGTTGACGTGATGGGTTGAAGTTCGCAGGCGGTGGTAGCGCTTGAATAGCGTCGTTGTAGCACGTGACATTCTTGCATCGGTATTTGACAAGGCAATTTCCTTCGCTTTTCGTGCACCTCGTTTGTCGTTCTGATTCAACCTGATCCAGCCATTATGCAGCGTCGCCTTTTACGTTCTTCCGATTTCGAGTTTGTCTACGGCCATGCCAGTGTGCTTGCTGCGTTGCATTCACAGAAGCGACAACGATTAAAGACCTTGTACCTGCAGTCAACATCGCGGTCTTCGCCCGCCACCACCAAAAAGAAAGATAGGTCAGCAGCTACCCGAGGAAAGAGATGGGATGATACACTGAACAAAAAGGGGGATTCATCAGCACGCTTATAGAATCCATTGTGGAACAATGTCAACAAAGAAACATCCCTGTAATAACAACCAACAAAGGCGAATTGAATAACTTGACTCAAGATAAACCACATCAAGCACGTGAGAGTGAGAGTGAGATGACTATCACTGGAAGGTTCTAAACAATGAGTATAGGGAGTGGTGCTTGAGGCGTCTCCCAGGGCAACCATCGAGGTAACCGATCCAGGGAATATCCGACCAGGGTTTTGGATTGCATTGGATCAGGTTCAAGATCCTCAGGTATTGTATACACTTGTTTGGCTCTATGTAGTTATTCACTTTTACATGTTCATAGAATCTTGGTTCCATCTTGAGAACAGCTCACTTTTTCGGTGTTGATGGTGTGCTTTTATGCAGCAAGAACAGGCAAGTGGTTGTCATGCATGCTATAGTATGTGGATGATAACCTTTATGTAGTGCGCCACTTACGCCAAGCGTATCCAAAGTGAGCTCAGGTGCTATGGAAGTCATGGACATTTATTCAACACGTAGCTTGGTGAATTTCTTAAAGGTAAGCAATACACAATCCATGGTTGGATATCCTTTGCTGATGAACCCCATGTCGCATTAGGCTTGTACCACCGATCATGGATGGCATACAATGGCCGCCACAGCACCAGAACCATCAGCTGTCGATATTGCCAATATCCAACAAAGTATCTCAAAAGACATACCCCGTATGCTGGTACTTGGAAACGAAGGTCTAGGATTAAGGACAAATGTCAAGCTGGCATGCAAGCAAAGAGTCACCATACCCAATACGTCATCCATCACATCATCATCGCCTCATTTCAAGGGACACGTTGACAGCTTGAACGTGGGTGTAGCTGCAGGCATTTTAATCTCTCATTTAGCAAGAACATAGACATTGGATATACATAAAAGTGATTAAAAGGATCTTATTTATGAAGATATCTGTGATGCTTATGATTGTCTGTTAATTGCTTTTTCCTCGTAAATAATCTTTCAGCCTGTCCCAAAGCCCTTTTTTGGTTTGACGTGTGGTCTTGCATACTATAAGATATCGAGAACAAATGCATCAGCATTCATGTACAGGACCAATGTATACGTACACCACATACCTTTGTGTTCTAGATCCCATGAGCACTCCTTGAATTGGTCGCACATATTTTTGCCCCAACCAAATGCGCAGTCGAATTCTTGGCATCCAGCTTCTCGATAAACGTATGGAGGATCACTTGCTTTTCTTGTACCTAACCACATACATTGGGCTGAATCCTGGCAGCTTTTCTCATCCGCAAGTTGTTTACAGTTTTCCTTTGTGTCTTGACCACAACCGCGAGAGAATTCTGAAAAAGAATGGATCAAACAATGAATACATAAAGCTTTCGAGAAAGAGGCATCGTTTATCAAACTTCTTCTTACCAGTGTAGCTGTCGTTACTGCGAACGTACTTGCGATAGAAACTATACGAGCATTCAACATCTCCCGAATCACCGCACAGGCTTTCTTCGTATTTTCTTTCTGTACATTGGGCACCGTTCGCTGGTTCCAATAAGAGTAGTGGCAAGACGCCTAGGATAATAAAAGAAGATTTCATAGCTGGTTGTTATCGCCAATGCAAGCGTAACAGCTCATCCATCTTTTATATTTTCAGGTGTTATGGCGTCAAGCGGTGATGATGCACGTACATAGTACCCCCTTAAATAGAGTACATGCACTCCGTATGCAGCACAATGTCAGGGACAAATTTCTATTCTCTTCCCTCCCCCAACCATCCCTTCCACGAATTGATCATTCTTTAAAACACGGGCAAGATGAGTAAATGGCGCGCCATTTGAGGTCTTAGCTAAGAGGCTCAACGCACTTTGAAACATCATGACAACCATTTCTTGTTTGAAGAGATCGATGCATTATAAACGGACCCATCACTCCCTACTAAGGCAACGCCCTCCTACATCCGCATGCGTACCTTATGGTGCTATTCCTCTCCTCCCATGTACTTGTTCAAAAAGAAATAGAGTGAACTTTAATAACATAAAGCAAGGATCTCTATCATCATCGAAAGGAAGAAACACTATCCTTAATCGTGATGGAGTGGTCGATTATAGGAGAAGCGCGGTACGAGATACATGCAGATCAAGAAAAGAGTTCGGGGTTGTTGGCTCCATAACAAAATACGGCCTTTCCTTCAAACGCCTAATGAACCTTGGAAACGGCGGTCGATTCGTGCGTCGTGCGATAGCAATGCATTGGAAAATGGGAAGTCGTGTCATCAAATCCTTTTTCTCCTTTGATATATTCAATCGAAGATGTGGTGCTTGATCAAAAAATCATCCGCATGATCTCCTAGGCCATATTGCCATTTCATCTTACAATCACACGACAATGCTTTGTCATCCCAAATACTACTCATGTTGAGTAAATACTGCAAAAGAATATTCATGATGCGCTCGATCCTTTGAAATAAGCTCGCGTTTTTTGAGGGCGTTTCATCAATAAAGAACAAAATCATTATAAGGTTGCTCGTCCAACAAGTAAGGCATTGCATCTTGACTTGAAATGTAGAAAACGGTATTACCAATGCCCCACTGATAGCTAAATAGATCGGGATTATCGCAAATACGATAAATAAGTGACCTTATCAAATCCTTTGAAAGATTTTTATTATATGTGAGAGCTACGGATATAAATATGGTGAGATAGCCGATACGCTTTGCAATAATCTCATTTCCCATCAAGTCTTCTTCCAGTTGCGGTCTCGAGATGATCATTGGCTTTTTCCCAAATGCCTTTCTTGCGTTCATTCTTGTGTTTGCATTCTATATAGTAGAGAGCAGAGCATGTTAAGTAAGTACAATGGCACGTCTTAGCTAGTATTTACATACTCGAATCCTTTTTATCAAAGATGCACTCTTCTTGAATTCTTCACAGTGGGTCTGATTCCAGCCATACGAACAGTCAAAATCTACACAAGCTACAGATGCCACCGTATCATCTAAGTTACCGTATGCTGTATGTGTAAGTAGCCTGAAATTTGGCCGTCGCTTCACCCATTTCTTACCGCCATTTTGTTCATGTTGAATCTTAAATATACATTGGGGGGCATCAATGCAGCTTGTCCCAAACAAGTCGCTGCATATTTGTTTTGTTGGTTCGCCACATCCACGGGAGTATTCTTATTTTTGCGGAGGAAAGAAAAAGTTCAAGCACAAAGCAGCAATGAGACGATGGGAAGAATAGCGAGCAATCACGGATCCATACTTGTATAGTTGCCGTTGTTGGGGTCTCCTTTCCGGTAAACGCTGTATGAACACTCGTTTCGTTTTTCACCACCGCAGTATTGCGTTACATCTTTGCGGTCATTGTATGAACATCGGGCACCGATTGCAGGTTCCAGCAAGAGCAATGATATGGCGACAAAGCAAATTGAAAGCATTTTCATCTTTAAGGCAGTTGATGCTTGAAGCCTGTGCCTTTCGACATGAACACTCATCTACATTTTATATCCAAGTCATTGGGGCGAAAAAAAAAACAACTTTGATGCATATGCTCCTATGTTTTAGGTAAAGTGTTATCTTAATTTTAGAGGCTTCACTTCCCCATCATACGAATGCATGCCAAACAAGACCCTTACTTTTTCATCCCCTTCTGAGTCATCCCTTGCACATACGAATAAAGTAATCTTTTCATGGGTACCTTTCTACATGCACGTATTTACAACAAACACTTCATGGAGCAGTTGAGGCTTCATTGACAGGTTAGACATGATGCAGGGTTATCATGAATTGGATGGTATAAAATGAACGTATCAGAGTATGATCAAAGATGACTAAAAGATCATCCTTGCATAGCCGCACATGCTTGGTACGGGTAAGATGTTTCCTGGCTACAGGTTTGCTGTTCTCAATCACACATAGCATGTCCAAAAGGAAGCTCGAAAGCTAGCTAAAGGGTGTAAATGGATTTTTCACGCGGCCGAGGTCAATGGTTTAGAGGTATGGATTATACACACGTACGCACAGTCCACGATTAGGGTCACGTGTTCCGCTTTTGTACCCTAGGGGACTTGGAGTTGCAAATAGACGTCAAAGCGCTGATAAGGTACATACCCAATTCGCAACATTACAAGGAGCCGTTGGTCGTTATCGTGCAAAATTCTTGAACCAGTTTTCATTTTTTCAAACAGCTATTGGATGACTATAAAATTTACACTACACTGTGTATGCAAGAAGAGAGAATGTCTTGCTTTTCTTTGCCTACTTTGAACGATTCCTTGCCATGGTTACCTTTTTACATCCACGCAAACATACCTATCATCAGTGAGTCAACTTAATCATACGTAACGGGGGATTATCACAAACCTTTCGTGGATCATAGATACATCATCAGACGATGCAAGCCCCCTTACAAGATGGTACCTTGCATACGCATGCATGCAGCATACTTGATCCCGAATACCCACAAAACTCATTTACAATACTTGTTGTACATAAACGTATATTGAATCGGGGAATAATAACAATAAATCATGGTCACCATTTTCCATCACTGGATGCTGATCGTACACGGGCTGTGATAGCTTCATCAATAATATCTAGACTACGTACACTACGCCAATCTGCAAGAGTCGATACCATGGAGATGCGATTCTTCCACTTGTCCATGTTCTGCCGATCACCTCCTGCTCCTCCTGATACCCAATCATTGTCCTCATTCTCTCGGTCATGGAAGAATGGTGATTGTGGTGTCCTCAAAGGTGGGTAATTGTTGTGGTGTTCATTGTCCCAATCATAGGGCAAGAGCATGGATGTACGAGAGGCGGATGCTTCATGTTGGTGATATTTCACGAGACCTGTGTCATTGTAATTGGTCGCATGTCGTACAAGGATAACGGCAGCCAATTCTTTGCAGAACTCCTGCAAGACAATATACGCATTGACGAAATTGGATAACTTCGCAAAAGGATTGGTCATTGTCACGGGTGTTGCATTCGCACGTTGTGTTTGCTGGAAAAAGGTGGCTGATGGTGAATTGGGTGTGCCAATAACATCGTCCTTAGCTTCCAGAGCTTCACGGTTGGTTCGTAGTGTCAAGGGTGCATTGGGCTTATTGGATGTGGATGATGCTGTGGCGGATGAAGCATTGCTGTTGTTGCTAGTGCTACCAGTAGTCGTTGTTACAGGCGGGCTTTGGGTACCAGATGGTGGTGTGGTGGATCCATTGTTACTGCTTCCTTTGTTGAATACAAGCTGTGAAAGACTTGATTGTCGTGATAAAGTAGGGCCATCACGTGTGGTGCTTGTTGATGAGCGTGCAAAAGTGGAAAGGGATCGCTTTGGTTGTTGATGATGATGATGACTAGTGGTCGTTGAGCTGCTTGTGGCACTGGCGTGATGTACACCACGTTTCTTGGCAATTGATATACGTGTCTCGAAATTCGGTACCAGCTGTGCACGCTTCAAGGCTTCGAATGTCACCTAGCAACAAACCTTAATATTCTTCCCAACAAGCATGGTGCTGTCATTTAATTACCTGTTCCAGCAATGAATAAAGGCTGCGTCGATTACCCTTGGCGCTAGGTAAAGTCCATACACCACCGTAAAGTGATCCATCACCACCCACCCGTACTGCGCGCCAATCACATATAACGCCATCCACACGCTTATCGACAACGCCAACAATCTTTTGAAGAATGCTAGTGACAAGCAAGTTTTGCTCCATGGTCGATTCAAGCAACTTGAAGAATTGATCAAAGATTCGGCTCATAAATAGACCTTCGTAGCCACCGCATCGCTTATGAATAGGCACAGCATCAGCAGCACCATTGCTGTCAAACAAGCCATTCCGGTTATGAAGTGCAGCGTCTTTGGATGATACGATCATGCTCATAGGGCGGCGTTGTGGACGACCACGACGATGTTCAGCTTCACGTGCATAATCCTTTTTGGTCTTGGATGGTGGATACGGCACTCTCCAAAAGTTACGTGCAAGTAATCCATATTGGAATCGCTCACGTGCTTCATGGAAATAGTCGTCATAGCTGTTGCCAGGAATCACCACATTCTGCAATGCACCATCACCCAAGCTGTTCTTTTGTTCAATGCTCTTGCGAGGACCGTTACCATGGACGGATGCCACAAATGACTCGGATGGGATCACGGAGGATAAAGGTGGCGACTTCATGCGTTCAAGTTCATCTTCCAAGGGCAACAAGGATAGTATTCTAATCATTCCACATAGAGGGTCAATAATCCATTGTACGTATTGTGTTTCCATTATTCCTTCTTTACCTTTCAACCAGCCATCGCACCTTGTCGGTCTTGGTATCCTTTTTGGAAACATCCTCAGCGACAGCAAGCTCGCCTACTTTTTCATCGGCATTGTCACCGCCACCAGTCGTAGATGTGCCACTTTCCTTGTCACCATTCTCTTCACCTTCTTCACCGGATCGCTTGGAAGAAGATGCCACTGATGCATTGTCTGATGCTGTCGCTAATGCTGCTGCTGTCGCTATAGCAGCCATTGCATTGGCTTCCTTGGCTTCCATGTCATCCACATAGTCTCCTTCAGGGGTAATGTCGAGATAATTGCGTAGCACAAGATTATAAATGGCGAATTGGTTGTATGTCTCAAGGATGGTATCAAACATGCGTAACGTTGACAACGACAAGTCATGTGATTCGGCATCAATACGATTGATCAACACCAGACGTAGCGTCAATTCTGTATCCTGGTCATCCGATGAGATGGCGGTAACCTTGTCTTTTTCATCCTCTTCTTCATCCTCCTCTTCCTCATCGCTTGTACGTTGTGAATCGCTATCCTCAATAAGATCTTGTCGTGAAAGATTGGCTCGTACTTCAGGCTCGAGATCTTTACCAATACCACCCTCTTCACCAATAAGAACCACCAAGAATGCATGAAGCAGCTTTTGGTCGGTGAGTGACCGAATCATTTCAGTGGTGTAGGCTGTTGCTGCAGTCGCCAAATCAGCGCTGGGTGAACTCAATGCCGTACAAACAACAGGATGCCAAAACAAGGTTGTCAATTGTGCCATCAGTGCTGTCATGAGACGTTTGTCTGCCACACGTGCAACATCATTCAAGTATTCCCAAAAGCTGTAAAACTCATCCACCGTTTGTTCGCCATCCCGTACGGTTTGCAATGCACGTGCGAAATGCATATCGAATGGACTGCGTTTTCTGCGCTTCTTCTTAAAGCTGTGGTGTGCATTGACGGTGATCATCAAGCTGTTATTGGTGATCATGGCCGGTACTGAAAAGTGGATGCGACGTCGAGGAGGTCGTGCTGGTACAACGCGTCCATTATCTGAAATTGTAAAGGCACCAGTATTCTTGGGTAGTTTGGCAAAGAACAAAGCCAATCGTTCAGCCTAAATCAAAAAGTCAATGATCTGCATGACTACTATAATCGCATCGTCCAATGCCCTTACCATGATCTCACACAATCCGGAATATTCAACAACGTAGCACACATACTCAGGGTCACCATCCAACAATCGCAATGCAAAAAGAATCGCTTCACGTGCAATCTCGCCGGTCTCGCCGGGCATGTTCATATAGTCGATCAAATACATAAACATGTCAAATCGTGGCTAGATAGGATGACCATCAATATACGATGCATGCTTTTAGAGTTGAGTAAACCTACTGTAAGAAACATGTTCCATGCAATCTTCTCATCCATGCTTTCACGTCGTTTGTGGAACGTGCGACCATCCTTGCTGCTTCTCCATACATTTTCCCCGAGATCACGGCACCATCCACGTTCAAAAAAGAGATCCATCAATGCAGCGTTGGCTCCTTTGAAATGGGAAAAGATGGCATGCATCAACTTGACAAGCTCCAAAGACAATTCACTGATGGCTTGATGACGTTCTTCAGGACATGATGCTGGATCACCCGTAACCAATTGTTCATAGTGATGAGCGATCAAACGATGACATGAATGAATCAACTTTTGAAGCGGCATATGCACTGCACGTTCTGGAAGTAGCTTGGCGTGAACACTGTTGACAAGGCTGCAAAAGAATCGTAACGTTTGAATCCGCATGCCATAAGGTGTCTAAACAATGATAATGCATATGAGCACTAGCATCTTGATCGACAACAAGGCCACACTCACATCGACTTTGGCAAACTCGACCATTTCTTCCAATACTCGCTTGTGTAAAAGGTATTCAAGACAAGGACCAGTCTCCAAACTTGGCTCCACATCGCCTAGGCTATCGCTCGCGTTGGCTCGTTGATATCCAAGCTCCTCAGACTGTATCAGTTGGACAATGTTACGAAGACACATTGGAATGGGCGTTGACTCCACTGCATCTTTCAGTGGATCTAGTAAAGGAAAGTAAGTAAAGAGAGACGTTCATTGCATAGAGTTCAAGCATGTTGGTTGGTTTGTACCTGCTGCTGTTTCATAGTACTTTTGAATGCTGACCCATGCCTCGGTCAACAGCTCCAGATTGGACTTGGCATTACTCCTTCCTGCCAGGAACTTTGACAGGAACATGGACATTGCAAGATGAGCTGCTGTAAGTTGTCGTCGTCGTGGCGATTAAGGAAAAGAAAAGAGGCGTGTTCACACACACACACAGGTACACAGGCACATTCACATCACCGGAGCGCGCGTTCGAGCCTCCGACTAAGGCCATTCCGATGGTTGCACATGAAGTCAACGACGATCACAAGATCATATACATGAATGCCAATTATTAGATAACCACTACGACAAGCTATTTGTATCTATCGTCCATGTATAAAACACTCCATCGAGGTGAAATCAATAAACTTTATCTGGTGGCAAAGGCTGTGTGAGGATAATCCCAATTAATTCAATGCGGCTCTCTTTGTTGCATTGCTGATCCATTGTACCATGGCTAAACTTTGCTACTCTTCAACCGAGGTGGGTGGGGTGGGTGGGTTGGATAGTGAATGGCCAAACAGCATACGTCGAAATATACATAGGGGTACATCATTGTTGTAAGCAACAGTAGGATCATCGTCACCGATAATGTGCATACCACGCAGGGATGATTTAGTCATCAGTCACCAAAGGGGTATCCGCACACACACACATATATATAGGCGCCATCCGGTTGATCAATCTTGCTCTCCATCTTCTTCACGGATTCAGATGGTTTATCAAGGACGTTTTCGGTCATCATCAACGCTATCGATATGCATTGTTATCATGATGGTGGCGTTGGCTATTGTTCCAACAGCAGCTGTTAGAGTCTATCTGGTCAACAACAAGGATGAAGCCCTGAAGATATGTGATGGCATCAAGGGATCCAAGTATGGCAATTACCCACTGTACCGAGATGGACCACAAGGCAAAGACATTTTCTATTCATGTGGCTACCAAAAAGAGAGACCATCCACCCTGAATCGGTCCGAATCATGCGCCTCAAAGCCTTCTGGATGGAGAGAGGATGCCCCAGTATCCAATGTCTATTACACGTGCGGTAGCGATGGTCGCTTGACACTGAACCAATGCTATTATAAAGCCTGTCAGAAAGTTACCGATTACAATAAACAATAAAAAGTCGCATTTATGCCACGCATCTTGTAGAGTACTTGAAGGATGGGGTTTATAAAAGACCGCGTGTGCAAAATTGTGGTTGTGGTCGCTATGACAACTCTCAAGTTCCAATTTGGGGAGCTCCTGGGGGTGTCCATCACATGCGGAGCCATGGCAATCAAGAATGTGCTGCATGATTTATCACCCAGTTCTCTCTTCTTGTTTTTCAACTCCATTGAACAAGCATTTACAATTCAAGCCATCGCACAGTACAAAGGGCAGTGTCATGAAGCACAAAGGATAAGAAAGATCGGTAATGTAGTGTGTAGATGACGGTAGCATCAAAACTGACACAGAACATTGTCACCAGCACCACCAACGACGCCTTTATCCAAGTTCAATACAGTAGCTTATGGCGATGAAGGAGACATCCGTCACTATGCGACTTGTTCAAAAGCCAACAGCATTCGAAACGAAGATATCTGTCAGACGCCTATTTCCATTTTGGATGATACCGACTTCCATCAAGATCAGCATATGATAAAGCACCACGCGACAAGAAATAGGTATCCTCTATCGACTTGAATCACGAATGCGACAATGCATGCAGCAGCGGGCAACAATATGGGCATCATCGCGAGCCAATGGCGATATGTATTTGGTCTACAAAGAACACGGGTGCCATTGTTGATGATTGGCTTGCCTCTATCCTTGGTTACGTATCTCTCCCACGAGCGTTTTCGAGCATGCAAGATTGGATCCATACCTTCACGTGTTGTCGATGATTCACTAAAAAGGGCTTCAATGTCCAACAATGCTAGGTGAGTGTGATGGCAGGAGAAACAAAGAAAGACCTTTAATCAAATACTGAATACTAGACATTACTACAACTACGATTATTGCTACACGAAAAAGAAAGAGGAGATTAGGAGGAAAAGGAGGATGGACGCCAAATGCGGATGGAAGTGGGTGCACCACCACCAGGAACAGAATCACAAACACGAGTAATGATGCGAGCCATGGTGAGCACATCAATCATGGATGAATGCAAGGCAATATGAATGGAGACAATACGGCGATTCACATGGTGTCCATGCAACACGTCAAACGAAAATCTCAGAGCACCACGTTGAGAAGAGAAGAGACGAGGTTCCCGATGATGATGCTGATTCGATTGCAAAAGATGAATAGGGGATCGTGTATCTGCTGCAACCAAGGAAGTCACTTGCTGAAAGAGATCAGTGGTGGTGGTGGGGGTGGTAGCTCTTGCTCGTCCTCTTGTCAACATGCCATGGGTGGTAGTGGAGGATTCCTCTGATGATGATGAACGTACTGCACCAGCTGCACTTGCTAAAGCTTCCATGCGGGCATTGGGATGATTATCTTGGTCTCCTCCTTGTTGTTCATTGTTGTTGCTATGATCACCACCATCACTACGACTACTGCTGCTAGGCGACGACGATGATGATGATGACGAGGAAGGAGATGGTTGACGCTGTGGAGGACGCCTTTGTCGGCTTGATCGCAGGGTACGACGTGTAGTTCTCATCACTCGAGTTTCAGGCATGGATGCCAACTTGCAGTTTTTGGCATGTCGACGAGTCTCTTTGGAATCTCTATGACGAAACACGCCACATGGACAATGAAAACATGTATCTCGTTGACGCTTCACCTTGGTGGTCCAGCCTAATGAGTTGTATCAATAAATGGATTGGATCAAGGATTACATAGTTACATTACCTCCTTGGCTAATAAATCTCAAAAGAACCTCATCTTGATGATTAGTACGACGATGTTCATCCAATTCGGGATACGAGTCAAACGTAATCCTGCAAGGGTTGCAAGTGTGCATTATGCAATGAATGGAATGGGCAATGTGTAGAATGAGTGGGTGGAGAAAAAGAAAAAGAAAAAGGGGAAGGGAAGAAGGGTACAAGACAACGATGAATGTTGGTTGTTTCTCATTTTCCTTTACAATTTATATGCGTATAAAAGAAGAAAACAACATCACCGAATTGGTATGAGACAAAGGAACAGAAACTGCAAGGTGTGCACACCACACACAATGGGTCTAGATGCCATGAACAATGAAGAAAGTGTAATACATAATATATGCCTGCATGCGTTTATTGTTCTAAGAGGGACAATGAAATACGATGTGATTCTTTCAACTACTCTTGGTCATGAGTAATCCACAACCATAAATGAGCACCATGGTGACTTTGCCCTCCACATGAACGACTATGGGGATGCGTACTACGATTGCACCTTTGTGCATACGCTGATAATGGATCAAGGAAAACAAAAGCAAAGAGGCTTTTGAACCAAGGCACGTGATTCATTGTTCACGAGACACCTATTATCGGTCACTCTGTTGAGGCGGGTGACCAAACCTTTGTATGTACATGCATCCTCAAATTTACTCGAGTGATGGGTATGGTTGTTTTCACTTGATCTAATGCGATTTTTATTATCAACGTTCTCTTTAAACGTATCCCCACAATACGAATCATCTTGCCACTGGGCAATCCATGCTTGATAGTAATTGGTCATGGCACCATCCTTATATAAGTAGACCACCATAGCTCTCCCTCTTCAATGGCCGTGGATAAGGATCTCCAACCCAATTAAAACCCGTTGACTTTTAACAACACGTCCATGTTGTATCCTACACCACCAGAAATACTGCATTCTTGTCACATCGATTGCTTGTCAGCCACATTCTGAGAAGCATTTGCATTGCGGAGAGAAGCCATAAGGCACGTGGAAGTGTTGAAGTTTTGGACAAGGTGACACATCTCGCGTGTAGTGAGGTTGCGTAGCAACCAAGGTTACACACGCCTTCGGAATCTCGGTACGATGACGATGCCTCTCTTTGTTTCCTGTAGCACACGAGTCACTTGGCGTGACACACACACAAACATACACAACTTGGCACCAACAAACATGATCATCCCAGCAATGCAGGGCTCTTACATCATCCTATAATCTGAGTATATGATACATTCTCGAGGGCATTTGAAAGAGGAAGAGGAGCAGGAGGAGAGGAGAAAAAGGGTAAGGGGGTTATTCGGAGACTTGTTGTAAAAGTCAACTGCGTATAGATTACCATGTAATAAGAGAGGAGGCACAATCATCATTATCATTATCATCATCCACCTACTCAGCGACAAAAGAGTACGTACATTGGAGAGGAGTCTACATTCACCACGTAATAAAAGGGATAACCAAAATTGTACGTGTGGGTTCGTTACGAAGGAGGATGAGTGTACACTTTTTTATTCATTGTCAACTCGTATATACGTGTTCTCTCTCTCTCTCGCATTGCTTCATGTGCTTTATAGTACAATGATGACCATCACAATCCAGACAAACGGAAAATCTTTTATAAGCACAAGAGCTATTTAATATCACAAATGGAATGATCGGTCTTTTGTGAACCAACAAATACACCATACAATTTCTCTGTGAAACGGTGCCAATTCAATGGCCCAAAAAACAACATGCAGGCCGTCTTTTTGAAAAAGATACCCCCTCTCCTCCTCCTCCTTTGTCTGACGGAGTTGCACATCCACCACGTGCGTATAAGCTTTTCACCACTCGCGAACCGAGCCGATGGTTGTGTTACTACTACTACTCTTCACCCCGGAATGTATGCGGAGCGAGAAAATGGATACCTCCTCCTCTTGTATCAACGCATCATCATGTGTGTAGGATCAATTAACAGCGTGATATGACGCATAGCAATCTAGCTCATTTGTTGGGGGTGAACCAGACACCGAGAACAGGCTATGAAGAAAAAACATCAAGTAAATGAGGTACATACATACATACATACATAAATATTACCTGTAACATTTGATATCGGGTGCATCGCATGGGATGAGAGAAGGGATTGGTGTGTGTGTGTGTGTGTGCGTGTGTGTGGATGCATGCCGGTTGCCCAGTAGAGTGGATCAAATTCTTTCTTATTTGTGGTAACTTTTTTTATATGCAGGTCAAGAAATGTAAGAAAAGAAAACGAGACGAGAAAGAGGATCGTCGCATTGGTGCATGTTAAATGCATGCTAATATGGAAACAGGATCAAATGAAAAGCGAACCTATCCTTGATCCAACAAAGAAAAATGAGGCAGAGAAACGAAAAACATCAACAATGGGTCTTTTACATAGGTTGAGGAACAACAACAAGAATTCTATCATAGCTAACACTGATCTCGAAACAAGATCATATCACAAGGGATATCACACACACTGTATCCTTTCTTTTCATTCGTACATGTCATGCACATGCAATGTAGGTATGATGTTGGGAGTCAACGGGGGACCCGGATCAATCCACCACGATACTAGGTGTTGTGCATCTACATACTCTTTCATATGCAGCTCAAAGAAGGCGTCAAAAAAACAAGTATGAATGGTGTCGTTGATGCAGCGGACCAGATGAAAGGATGTACAATACAGCCATTTGAACCCCCTTGGATACCTACAGTAGCCTAGAGCATGAAATGAAGATGTCCCGACGTACAACACACACACACACACACACAAGGTAAGAACGAAGAAGGGGGTGGATCGACAACGACCATGACGGATGAGTAAATGAAAAAAGCTGATGACGATGATGGCATATTTTATTCTTGTTGTTTTCGATGCTGCTGCTGCTACCACTGCAAGAATGAAGTGTCTGCCATAAATAGCATCTTGAGCGACAAGGGGACAAGGACTCACACGTAAGTGAGAAGAGGACAAATGGGAAATTTTGCTACAGCCCAACCCATTTGTGGCACTTTTATGGGACCCCCCAAATATCCATGTGCATTAAAGGGAGGGATTATGGGGGGGGGGGAGAGCCCTTCTCCCCCAAAAAAGAAAGAAAAATTACCACATCATCATCATCATCTTCAGCTTTTTGCTGTGGTGGTGGTGCTGTTGCTGCTGCTGCTGCTGCATGTGCTTACCAACTAAGAGCAAAAAAGTAGCAACAAATGGGCTGCTGGTGAATGAGTAGGACAAGGGCATTCTCCCATTGTCTGGGCCTCTTGTTACATGTGCTCTTTTACAGTAGCAGCACCACCTTGTGTACTCAGACAAAAGAGGCACCCATTATTATCAAACACCAATTCATCATCATCATCCCCTGTGTCCTTTATATTGACATTTTATCGTGTCATTTCCTGTGTTACGCCTTTCTCTTTCTTTCTCTTTCCTCTCTTTATTTATCCTTTCCACTTTTTCCTCGTCTTTCATTTCACTCACTCATTCTCCCACTCTCCCCCATTGCAACATTGACACAATGAGTGATACTGTAGCAGCACCAGCAACAGCGCCAACAACCACAGCAACAACAACAACAACAACCACTGAGGCTGCTACACCAACACAAACACCTCCAAAAGAGACATGCAAGAAACGTCCTGTGATTGTATCTTTACCACCAAAGAAGCATCATCCTTCTTCTCATCCAGAGGTAAAAGCAATATGAATGGGATGGTGGGATGATAGTAACTCACATGTCAATTATTGTATAAAGAATCATTCTTGGTCGGAAGGCACAGTACCAGGACCCGAGCCGCCCTGTCATTTTTGTGCCGCTCACCATCATCATCATCATCACCCACGACCACATAACACTGAAATCATTGAGCCTGTATCGACTCTATTTTTGCATCAGGTATAATAACTTATGCAATCCATATCCAGACCGATAGTCATTAATACATAACCCGTGGGTCTTGTGATAGAAACCATCAGCCACGAACAAAATGGAACCCTCCCTTTCGTCCTGTTCTTCATCCATCGAATCGGCTTCTCCTACAATGGACGACGAGGTAATAACGAATCCTATTTAATTATCATCCAATGACACCCCACTCATCGATTCTTCTTAATACATACATAGCCACCCACACAACAACAACAACATGAAGACAGCAGGTAAATCCTTCCCCACTCCCCATACTATTCATTTAATACTCATATTTGTATATCTTTATATAGTGAAGAAGTCACCAAAAAGCAGCTACCACACCATCCCTTTGCGGTATTACAGCATCATGGTACGCTTTACGACGACCCAGCCGTGGTACACGTGATTGACCATAGTCGGCATCATCGTCATCATGCTGCTGCAAGTGGAACCAACCATGTACGTAATCACGGGCATATCAGCAAAATAGAAATCCAGAACGCTTTACTGATTTCTTTTTTTGGTCACTTTTATAGCAACAACAACCATCACAGCATCAGCATCAGCAGCAGTTCCTGAGAATGCCAGGAGGAGGTGACGCCGAAGTACAAGGAGCAATGACTAATGGAGGAGGAGGAGGAGGAGCTTCAATGATCCATGGAGGAGAATGCCCCTGTCGATATCATCACCATTATTGCAATCATCATCCTTCTCCAATTGTGGATGATTCAGTATGGGATAAATTGGCAAACAAGATTGATCAACTTGTGGAATCTCGAGTACACCAGGCAACAATGCAACAACAACAACATCAACATCCTAAACATGAATCACCATGGAAACAAGATGAGGTGCGTCTTGAAGATTTGGAGTTGGCTACGGCACGGCTGGACCGACGCCTCATTGCTCTCGAAAATCAAGTGGCGGCTGCATGGCGTAGTCATCCTCACACAAACAATCACACCTTGCATACTCAGCAAAGTAACAGCTCATCACCTACCACTGCTACTACAACTACTACAAGGAGTACGAGCCATGCTGCTGCTACTGCTACTGCTGAGGATGATGCCACCACAAGATCCCATCAGCTTCAATATGAATGTCAATCCTTGTACGGGCGATTAACCGAGGAACAGCGTAAAACCAAACATCTTGAACAACAACATGTCGAGTTCCATAAACGGCAGACCGAAGACATGTTAAAGATGGAGAAATTACAGCAGCAGGTCAATGCACTTCGGGCCGAATTGCGACAATACAAAGGTGGTCAACAACAACAACAACAAGGCAAACGTGGTGGTGTGCAACAACAACAACAACAACAACAACAAAGACGTCCTGGACCTCCCATGCATCATCCTTCAGCACCCGTTACCATGACAACCCATCATCGATTGCCTACACCAGGTTCATCTCCTTCTTCCACAGGTCGTATGCACAAGAATCAACAACATCAACGACCTCCTCCTCAAAAGCATCATCATCAGCAGCCCCAACAGGATGAAGATGGATCAGTGCGTGAAGAGGATGGTTATCTTGTATTCAATACCAATATCAATGGTGAATTGATTCATTGCAAAGTCAAGATCCCAACGAGTGCAGCTTCATCTCCTACCATTCAACATCATCGTCCTGCTCATCATCATTATTCAAAACCCATGTCTGATTTCCCATTGGCACTTGTATCCCCTCCCATCACTCGGGCAGGTACCCCTACTACCACGATGCGTGTTGACAAGAATGCCATGATGATGATACCACCCCTTTCTAAATCCAAGAAGGGTATGCCTACTGGCACTACTACTACTGGCAGTGGATTGAATCCAAATGCCCCCGAGTGGAAAAATGGTACCTGGAAATAAGGAAACCTCTTGGTCTATCACACACACACATCACATATAACATCATTTTGTACGAGCATTGATCGATATTATACCCCCACCCCCCTTCAACCACCACACCCTTATTCTGATACAACCATATACTCATTCACAAACACACACACATAGTTTAGCTTTCTTTTTCTTTTTGCATCAATCAAACAATACACACACCAACCACATCCCACATTTTGCACTCATGACAACGAGGCAGTGATGATACATGACATATGTACCTAATCGGGTGTTGTAACTTGCAATGAAAAAATGATGCGTGGACGTGCCTATTTTGACAACATCTTTTACGATGACGCGTCTTTATTCATGTAAGCCGAATTGTTGTTATCAATTGAAGATGTTTTTGATATATTGGTCAACACGTGCCGGTCAACATCCTCCCATAATACATAATACAACTCATTCACGACGAGATCCGACTCAGGAAGAAGGATTTTCATGGAAGCTTTAATAGGGGTTGGTCAACGTAATCTCGTAATCGTCAAGCATGTGCAATCGATATGGGAAACTTCTACATATGCTTCGGACGTGCATTGTGCAAAGGTGAATGTTGGATGAAGATGAGCCGGCATTTGATGCGTGGTGGTGGCAGATTATGCACAAAACATGGAGTTCGATGGTGATGATGATAGATGTCAGGTTGCAGCTTCCATGGAATAGTGCGTTGGGTGCACCAATCATTCAGGATGGTAACGTAATGGTCAAGTTGGCAATCCCCTGTGTTGACTATATCCAGTTCTTTCCATTCCATACACCAAACCAATATCCATATCCATATCCATCATAGGGATTCGTTTGTATTAAAGTTAAGTTGTTGCATGTAAATAAAGCTGCTTTCTATATCATGGCTATCAGCTGGTCACGTGGAACGGCTGCTGCAAGCAAAGGACTTTGTTCGAGCCAAATGGAGTATAGACTTTGGTAATAACAACTGCTGAATGGAATGCTGTTACGGTTGGTCGTGGCAGGGAAGCGCGCAAGAGCGTGTGTTGTATCAAGAGACTCGTGTGTTGTAGTAAGAGGTTGTGTATACGCCATGGACTTGCCATTCAGTCCAAGGCTCTCGGATCAAGACATTCGTAGGATTGACATGATGGGTTGAAGCAAGGCATTCGTTGGCAGGTGGTGCTTGTATACTTGAATGGGCTAACAGTTGAAAGGGAAGGAGCTGAGAGCGGGAAAAAAGTGGAAATCAAATAGGTCGGACACTTCTTGTATAAATGCATGAATACTGTACATCAATCCTTGATATTGAGATTGTCCCTTTCGAACCTGAAACTTTCACACAAGATGCTCTTGGGCATGCTGATCAACCTTTTCTAATAAAAAATTCATACTTCATTATAAAAAATTGAAATGGAAGAGTTGCCAGCAGTAATAGAACTCATGTAAGGTACAATGTTTATCCGACAACGACTCCAAAATGTATGTTGCTGTGTACCGCAACGTCTGAGGACTTCAACCATACTCTGTAAATTGCAGGGATAAACCCCTGGGGCTGCTCTATGCATGGAACTATCCTCTTAGAAATGACGGCAATGATGTTGGCGATGGCTCATTGTATCAAGCTTTTCGTGGTGGGTAGTAGGCAAGTTCAAACATACAGTTTTTATTGATGTCTTTGCTTGTAAGGGTGTTTACAGTGATACACAACCATTGGGGGTTTTCAATGTACAAGGATAATTTCTATGAGCGAAATCCACCACTTGTTGTTGGTACTATGGATCAACAACAGGATGCATCGATTAGGCGGAAGTGCATCTAATGTTATGATCATTCATAGGATGTGATTTGAGTATGTATGCAGATCCCCGGATCTATGATGTGCTTCTCGTGTCAAAAACAGCTATAAATACAACCGATTTTTGTACCTGTAGCATGACCGTTACTACTATTCCAAGGGATACCAACTCCAACTTTGAACCCAAGAATGCTTCACCACGCGCATCAAGTCTTCTTCCTCATCGTTTTCTTCTTGTCTTTGTTTCTACCAGGTGTTACGGATGCACAAAGATATGAAAATGGAGTATATCGTGGCGAGACTTGCTGCTGCAACTGTGGCCTAAAACTTTTTGGAGCATGTACGGAAGCCCAAAGCTGGACCTGTGCCAGATACTCGCTACAATCTGGCGATCGTTCTTCCTGTTCTCGTGGACAATGGCAGTGTGAATCAGAGGCATGGATGGGACCGAATTCTTGTCGTTGTTAGAAGCAAGTACCTACCACTGGCATGGATCTCAAACAAAGCCGTGACTCATTTGTATTGATCATTTACGTTATTGCATTTTAAAGGCAAGCTTGATACATATCCAATTGTCTCTAATAAATGATTACGTGAACTATATAAGATACAAAGGCAGTGCATATATACAATTGATATTACTCTATGACACATTGATGATAGGGAATGATAATACTTGTATAACGCATTGGAACTTCATAGTAACACATTTCGAATTGAATCTTGTCCAGCATGCTACCTATATTTCTAACATTTAGCAGCGTTCAATTTGACCGGCATGATGGGTTGAATACTTGATGGTGGGATACTTTGACACTGTGTTAATGGTATACAGCCATGCAGGAAACAAACAATCGCGCAAGGGAGTGGATAGTGGTCACGAACGTGGTGTTTTTACTCGACAGCACTTTGGACGTGGTTCAAGTAGAGATCATCCTACTGCATCGGATGTTACGTTATGTTCTCTAGCTCCTGAGAACGCCGCATCTACTGCATGCAGTGTTTCTTCTTAGATGACTTCAAGTTCCTAAGATAATCAAAGGTCGACCATCATAACTAATGCATCGTAAAGTCTTTCAATAATCAATGGATGTAGTTTGTATGTGCTATGCAAGTGGATGTGCGATGTTTACTGGAATAGTGTGAATGGATTGAGTCATTTATATTCAGCAACAAATGATAACGAAGGAGTGATGATTATCTATGTCGGCATAAATCTGCAACTTGGTATGACCAAATCTGAACAAGCAGTGATATCCATCATCTAAGCAAAATTGTCAGTGTCATTGTTGTTGTATGAATTTACCGTGTCACAAGAAAATGGGTGCGTTTATAGCCACAGTCAGCATCATGTCGAGAATAAATTTGGGGGACGGTAGCTCCACGACTTGTGACAACGCCTCTCTCTCCTCTGCTTTTATCCCATTCATCAAGGTAATGTACTATAAAAAAGTGCTCTTGTTGGCTGTGAGGTATTAACATAGTTCTGAACATGCATTGTCAGGGAGTGAGCGTGTCCAAGTGCTGAGGAATGAGCGTGGTGGGTGGTTGGTGGTTGCCATGGCGATATCGTTGCTATCCCTGCTCTACTTCGTGTCAACAGGTACATTCAGAATCTAATGTTGCAACTGAACTTGTTCCATTGACGTGTTAGCTTGTATAGGGGACAAGTTTGGTTTCAAGGCGTTGGCTGGTTTGGCGTTTTGTTTCGGCTCAACAACACTACACGATGGTTTTTCGGTTTCCAGTAACCACCAACAACGCGTCTTTATGAATATGGCAAAGGTAATTGCAATGAAACAAACAATGAAAAAGGGTGTTTATTGTATATGTGTGCTAATAATGAATCGAATAGGTTTTTGGTCAGGCTATGCAACTTGGGGGCATCATCATCATCTCTTTGGGTTCAAGTCCCACCTGTATATGTGTTTAACCAACACGCTCTTCTCGTGATAGGCTCGTTTTTCCCTTGAGGATTTCTTTTCATGAGGTAGGAAATGATTGGAAGGATTGGGGATCATTCTTTCTTTGGAGAGGATGAATGAGGACAACGATGAGCCTGGACTCTACGTAAGTGATGTTTTTCCTTGCCATGGATCGAACTGGCCTTGCGTGATTCGTGCAGTGCCTTCTCAAGAACAAGGGATCGCCCGACGTTGCTCGTATGGTGGTGATTTGGTTTGTGAATTCCTTCCGATTTGCTTTCTTCCTTAGAGAGGATTGCCTAACGGTATACCAAATCGTCATCATTCCGGTACCAGATGGTCTAACTTGCCTGCTTTCTTATTTGTAGAGACGACGATTACGATGATTACCACATTCACAACAATGACGATTACGATGATCACCCCATCTACAACAATGACAATGATGACGACAACGAGATTCAAAAGGAAGCCTGCAAGATCCCATTCTTTTCAACTTGTGTATTTTTGGAGGTTGGTGTGACGGATGAGATGGGCGACTGGTGACGAGTACGAGTACATGTGATGACGGAGGATGACTACGACGATGGTGGTGGAAATGTAGCAAGATAGCTAGATGAAATAAAGCATTGTTTATTTATTACACGCTTGTTGGAGGTTGCTAGCTTGTGGATTACATACTATTGCTTCGAAGAAGGAATAATAAAGGTGGTCCGGTTATCGGTCATGCAAGAAGTACATGGCTTTTGTGATACAATAAGGAGAAGTGGAAAGTGGGATGAGCTTGAGAAGTGAAAAAGTGAAGAGATCCCTCCATGAGTTTCAGGATGAGTGACTCATTCAATATGTATATGTATCTTTTTACATAGACAAATTGGTTTATGCAGCTCGACTTTCTTCTACATGCAAATGTGATGCATACCTTGACACACCTTCATTATTGGATGCTGTTTACTTACGTACCTTCACAAAAGGCAATCATCATCATCACCCATTTGTGTATATGAACTGTTTCAGACAGTTCAAATCCATCAATGTGGTTTCATCAGTTTTTCCATTCTTCCATGTTTAATGCAGTTTGATAATTTATCAATCAGGGAAAGGTCCGATCATTGCCAAGGAGACCATTTATTCTTAAAAATCTTTGACTGTACCTCAACGTAGCATATTTTGCTAATGTCCAGTGGATCAGAGATATTCTAGATTGCATTTGGTGCAGTGCATTGGTTGAGCTCATATAAATTGTACTGCATCAGATATTTGCCTATTTTCATCTATGAATGGTAAGAATGATGAGCTCATTCATGTTACATTTGTATATGCTGTTGCATTACCATGAGTTGACTATATATGATTGCATATGCCATAGTAATTGTTTGAGTTACCCATTTTCAGTGCAAGAACTGTATGCAACTGATGAGTTACCCTGTATACATTTGCGGCAGCCAGTATTTCGTTGAGGCCAATTATATATATACTGCAAGTGCTGTTGAAGTATTCTGTTTGAGTTCATCCATTCAATGCATATGCCAGGTACTGTCGAGTCAATTTTACTGAAGGCAAGGAATCAGGCAATTTGTTGAGTCAAATTTATTTTCAATGCAAGGCATTAAAAGGCATCATTGAGAGCTCCCATACATTTGCAATAGCATACATGCTAAGTTCAATACATGGATGAATGATATATCAACGAAGAAACCAGTATTTGTATGGAACAAGACCTGAAAACTGGATTTAATTATCACGATAATAATAGCAAGGGAATACAGAATGATTATGATGGGATTATAGATGGTGAACACATACTGTAGTTCATCATCCTACTATGTCAAAGAATTCCCTAGAAAATAATCATATTGTCAGTTCCAACAAAACACTTTCATCCACTATATTTAGCTTGTTTATTTCCAGGAGTCCTCGTAGTTCTTTTCGGCCAACTTACATGATCCTCATCTTGAATACGTAGCATGTTTCTTATTCCCGCAGACCATTCATCTCGGCACACATCGTGATTAATTAGATATTTGCCGTAATGTCTACATCCATTGGTGTCCTCATACACCGTAGCAAAGTCCGGCACTACATGTATGGGCCGAAGTATTTCTTGTATCGGAAAAACCTCGTATCCATCGTTTAAGGAGAGTGGTTGAAGTCCACTGGCATGGCGGTGTTGAATAATAGTGAATGTTCTCATCAAACAAAGCTGAATTTCCTTCCCACTTTCATGCAAAATGACAGTAAAAAAGAGTAACACTTGGCCAATTCGGTTGTAATCCATGGCAACGTAATCGTACCGCTCATGCCCAAAGAAAGATGCGTGCGCACGCACGACCCACTTACGATCACCGCCATCGTCATCTGCCCTTTGTATTGTTAGCTGCTGATACGCATTGACCTATCACGTTCATTAACATTTTTTGATCCATGGATCAGAGTGCGATTGTAACATACCTTGTTGCAATCGTACACCCTTGTATGATTGTTTGCTTGTGTCAGATTAAGGCGCTTTTCAAAATACATTTTCAAGAGATCATCAATGTCGTAGCAGCAGGGCCTTACTCCAGCGAGTACCATGATGTTGACAGGTTTCGAGTAAATCTTCGAACCAAGCGTATAGAGAGGATTCGATAACACAATATTCAATGGTGTATGCGGATCTTTATGGTAGTAGGTATCATCCAGCAAATCACGATGATAGACATAATCGCTCATCTAGCATCATAAACGCGTTATACTTGCAATTTGTTGAGTAAATAGTCATTCTCATACCTGCTTTGTTATATCACAATGTATCCTATTCAGGTGTTTTGCAGGTCTTTTGGAATCCAACCGGTGCTGCCTTTCAGAATGTGTTGTGCTGAAATTCGATATGGCGCCAAATTGCCTGATGTCATCAGCATACTTTAAAAGCGCATGATTCTTCGGGAAGCGCATTTGACTCTGCAACGAAAATGTGAATAGTGATCCTTAGAGAGCATACATACTTTGAACTAGTAGTAAGATCTTTAAAACAACTTACGCTAGAAAATGGTTCCATTATAGCGCTGTGTTTGTAGTACTTTTTAAGCGATTTCTTCATTGCGGAAAGCGAGCTCTCAGAATGCTCTTTTGCGGTTGCTTGATGAAAGAAATCGATGAAGTGTCGAAATGTTAGCGCCATTTGAAGCGGTACAACGTCATGTATCAGGCACATGATAACCTATCTACAGCGCTTAATCGTTTGAGAATCAAATTCCCCGTTCAGCCATACCTTCATGTGGTCACACATTTCGTTGAACGTTGGATTCTTAAAGAAGCTGAGCAGGAAGCCATTATTGAACCGCTTTAGATTCTCGTAGGGAGGCAACATCTTTGCTCTTTGATATAGCTATTAGTAGATCCTCATTGCGTGCTACTCTACATTGACAAGATACCTTGCGTTGATGATGTTCGTCGTTCCAGTGCTTGCTTCGTTGAGTGATGATTCAAGACACTGAAGTAAATGCTTATAAGCACCACCAAGCTGATGTAGGTCATCAACGGTAAGCGATGCATAAATGTCAAAAAGTGGGACCTTCCAAAAGGCATTCTATGTTTTTGTATACGTAAATAAGTATGTGACTAAAGCGATACTATTGTTAGGATGTTACTTGTATGGCATGGAATGAATGCCTCCGCTCTTCGAAGTTTTTCCTTGCAATCGATGTCATACTGGATACTTTTGCATATAGATGCTTCATCATCTCCTCCGTTCGCACAGGAAGGTTCTTACGATAACAATTGAATTCGGTGTATGGGGTCTCACACCGTGGACATGGGAACTTTGTACTTGCACTTTTGATACATGCAAGCATTCTTCTATATGTTCGTGCTGGTAAGCAACGTTTACGTACATGAAAATAGACATTTAATCTACTTACTGTTCAGGCAGGTCAGCAGTGTACGTTGCAAGAGCCGGTACGCATTTATAAACTTTTCCATTTGGCCCCTTCATGGAGTATGATTTGATCCTTTATATAGTAAAAAGGTTATTTGGTTACTGTACAAAATGAAAAAGTGATCCTTACATGTGGTCGTCATCGTACTGAAATGGCTTTAATATAAGAGAGATACAGTAATGGAACACCGAATACTTGGCTTTGATGAACCATGATGGAGGGCTGCCTTTCCAATCTATGCATGGAAGGTACGCTAGCAAACGACTTGGCCGGTTTTTGCTTTTTTCACGGATCTCGGCAGGTATATTCCCTATAATTATCGTTGTAAGTTGTATCGCTATAATCAAAATGAGAAGGTCGAAGTCATTTGGTACATACCAAGCTTCAAATAGATAGGCCAAGCTTTTTCACGCATATTTCCGGTAATGAGTGTTTGGTCCGATGCAAGCATGATGCTTAATATCACGCACTCTGGAAGCAACTCCTAAGATATAGTCATCATTCAACAATTTCATCGGTAGAAGCCCTCTTGTTTCAATGCATAACATACCTGGAGCTTCTCCCACCATATACCGGATTCAAGTCCTTTATAAGTCCTAACTCCATTTTTCATGCACACTTTTGGTTTGATAATCATTTTGTCTTCGAATGCCGGATGCGAGAAAAGATGTTCGCATACATCACGGATGTTCCGATACACCAGTATCAAAGGACCAACAACGTCATGGAATTCAGATACATGCTTTTCTGGAAAATCAGGAACTTGGGAAAGGTCAATACATTCGTGGGTAAAGGGCTATGTAAATCAATATCAAGTTAATAATGATAGTACATAGCAAAGTATAACCATCATACGAACAAGTATTGAACATGGGTCAGCGTCCTGGTGTAACCTGCTCTTGAGCTTTTTTAGCGTGTTCGTTGACAGTGCACTGCCAGCACCTGATTCTTTTCCTTCGTTGAAGGCGGTTTCAACTAGCTCTGCAACCCTGAATCATGTACACAACCCAATAAACAAGTGTAGTATACATGATGGGAAAATTTGTTCTCACCTTTCATACTCTGCACCGGATAGATTCAAATCAAAGGCCACTGAAGCTGCTTTTTGTTCCAACGGTGATAACGTGCCCCTTGGTGATTGTATGTGGCCTTTGCTTCTTTTATCCTGGTAGGTCGATAGCCGCTGGCGTTTGTGTCGTGAGTCTACGTGGCTTTGAGTATCTCCTTGTAATGGTAACCTCATGTAATATGCGTTGATCACTACCTTTGTTCATGGAAAACGGCTGAATGTTGTCGATAGGAGGATGTTTGGCTGAAGAAAGAAATGTAGAGGAAAAGAAAGGATCAATCCGTGCCAAATACTTATGTCAAATATCATCTCGGGTAACACCCGTTGATCTTTCCCTTTCTTCCCACAACATTCACATACATTGAAAGAATGTCAAGTAAACGACAAAAAGGTGAAATTAATAAAAGAGGGGACTGAATTACTTGCTCATTTGTCGTGTTGAGCCAGCTTTGAATGTCACAAAGACGAACAAACGAAGCCCACAAGATACACGAACCTCCGCCAAACGCTTGGCTCTCGCAGACAAGAACAATCAACCCTGTGAAAACGACGATACCGAAAACGCTCCTCCTTTACTAGCAACACCACCACCTTCGCAAGGACGCACATCCACACCAGAGGAAGGCACCAGCAGCACCAGTGATGCCAGCGAAGTAGAAAACGGGAGGTAATTACATTGGGGATATGGATTTGCTATACGCAAGTTCATCCTTTCGCATTCGTCGCGCTAACTATAATTATACAGTTCTCATGACGAGGCTGAGCATCAACACCACCACCACCACCAACAACAACAGCCTTTGCAACAACTACAGGTCAAACACATCGATGACAGCCGATTTTATTTTTGCGTTGCAGAGAAAGAAAGTGATACCAACAAGCTGAAAGAGGGTGTCCGACAATTCATATACCTTGAAAACGCGTTCCCAACGAACGAAGAGTGTGAATTGGAATGTGTAAAACTATGCAGGAAGATCAAAGGGTGGGATGATGATGACAAACGACGCGTTATTGTTTCCAAAGAAACTTCAAAGATCGTAAGTGTTGTCAAAGATTGAAAACAGCAGCTGTTTCTTATTGATTACATTAGTTTATGAATACGGTCTCCAGCACTCGCAGCTCTTTACAAACAAGTATGAAAAGGGCGTTGCTAGCATTTGAGTTCGATCCCGAAAATCTACCACCACCATGCAAGATGCGTTCAAAAAAACAATATCGTTACCTAGTTGATGGAGCTAGGTTTGCAAGAGCAGGGCATCGAGCAGATGGTGGTTTGCTACAGAATGAGGTGCTTGGTAGGCTTATACATATCGTCTTCCACAATACAAAGGCGGGCCCATGTAGGTTAAAAGCAAAGAACGACGTTGTATCAAGGAATACAATCACTTTGACTTATTGTTTGGTACGTGCCATTTACCTTTTATATGGATGTTGTATCTTTAAAACTGGATAATAATAGACTTTGTATGCTATGGTATCAGCGTATCCCTTCAAAGTGCCAGATCCCAGGATGAACGATACTTTCAGACGGCAAGATGGTTATTGGCTATGGCTGTACAAGCGTACCATGCAAGGAAAAGGAAATGGTGATGAATGTATTGATTGGCAAGCTGTCCATCAAGTTCAAAGTAGCATCATCGACAATTTATCTGATCAAGGCAATGATGGCGCTCCAGAATCAAAGTTACTATATCAAGCAGCAATCAAAGATGGAGAATACGTGTCATCAGACGAGAATGAATAAAAAACCCACCATATAGTCTCATTCGATGTACGAGATTTTATAAGGATGAACCAATGTTTTTCAATAAAAATAGGTAACTCAGCAATGCCTAGCAACGCCTTGCAATGTATACAGGTAGCTCATCAGTGCCTTGCAATGCCTTGCATTGAAAATAGGTAACTCAGCAATGC